TTTTCATTTATTTTTTGAATATTATTCCTTTCAGAAGTCGGCTGCTGCTACGCCTCAGATGGTGCATCCTTTGAGTCCAATTTTCGATAACTTGTTTGGACATTTCGACTGGTAACTGGCGTTTGGCACGCCTGAATCGAAACGGTACGGCCTACAGAAAAAAGTCTAACGGCATAATATCACACAATCTTGGTGGCCGATGGACTGGCTTTAAGCGTGAAGCTATATGCTCATCAAAGTGTTCTCTCAAGAAATCAGTATTGATATAAGCAAATTTTGCCACGATCACTTCAATTTGGGTTCCAATTTAGGCTTCAACTTAGACTTCAATTTCAGGTATCAAATAGTCAGTTATCTCTATTGACGGCTACGTTTTCACCTGCCGACCTATAAACCCCACCAAATCGTTGATTTCAGATTGTCCTTCGTCCCAAATGCAGCAATTTTTCTTGTTTACATACCCGTTGAGCCAGAAATGATCCTCATCGTTGAAAAAAATTTGGCTCGAAAACGTCAGTTCGTCTTGGAACATTTCAAGAGCGCATAAAGCGAAGCGATGGGGCTTGGAAAGGTCGCGCGGCTTCAGTTCTCTGCTTTTATCGGCGAGTACTGCACCGAAAATTTTCAGAGCTGTAGTGTTTTCATTCATATGGACAATATTACAAATAGCTATCTCCTGGACCATAAGTGGAAAATGAATTGAGTAAGAGATAGGCATTGTTTCAAAATTTTTTTGTTTGAATAGACTTACTCTTCGTACGGACGATGAAAGAATGCTTGTTACATGCACGCAGTTTGAAGCCACTTGAAAAGACTAAATACACAAAGAAGCTCGAGGTTTAACTGTCATATGAGTGAACGAGAAAAGCGCTCATGGATCGATTTTCCATTTTTAAATCGCTTCTGAATCGTAACCAAATCGACCTTGTTCTGAAGCGCATGGTGAGTGGTGATAAAAAGTAGATCAGTTATAGCAGCGTCAAACGAAAACGGTTGAGATTGAAGAGCAGTATCGGTCTCACAAACCGTCTCTAAACTAGAATTGACGACCAGGCATTTTTTTATGTTTTTATTGGAATTGCCAAGGAATCATCGAATACTCCCTTGCAGTCAAACTCTTAATTCGGGCCTGTACAGTCAACAATTGCAACGATTGAATGGAGCAATCGTTCATAAGGACGAAATTGTAAAGGGGAATTGTGTTTCATCAGGACAACGCCAGATTACAAACAACGACAGTGGTTCGCCAGAAGCTCTAAGAATTCGGCAGGTTCTTATGTATCTACCTTATAGGTTAGACATCGTACCAAGAGATCACCGTCTTTTTTTGCCTATAACGCATGATTTAAGTGGTGTAGAATTGGACTCAAAAGAAGCTCGTGAAAATCGCTTGTTCCAAATTTTTGCCAACAGGGACAAAAGTTCACATTAAATGACAAAAAGTTATCGGGCAAAATGGTATATTTCTTGACATAAATGGGATAATGCTTACTAATAATGGTAAAAAAAACCTTCAATTTTGTGGAAGAGCAGTGGATTACTTTTCACTAAACGAATATTGTATATGGACAAGCATCTTTCGCCAGTTCTTCTTTTCTAGTGAGACTGTTCATAATACTGATTCATGCGGTAAAAGATTACCAGTATTAGCTTTCTTGATCTGCTTAATATCCTCATTCGGTTACCTGATATTAATAATCGGTTTACTAAACTGGGAAGCAATTATATCGACCTCTCTAACCCGTGTTAAAACTGGGACTAATAGTTGAGAGGCAAGTCCAATTTTACTGCTACGCAGATTCTCACTTCTTTCACTATAAATGAATTAAGCCAAAAAATATCACCTTCAATATTCTAAATAAACAAATGTCGTTAAATTGGATAAAGAATAAAGACATGTAGAGGGCGCTTGATACAATAATACTTTTTATTATGGATGTCTCAATATTTGTCATAATAATAATATTCGCAATAATTTTTAGAAAAATAACCAGAAGTTAATTTTTAATACTAGGAAGAGCACGAAATTCGAAACAATGTAATTATTGCAGACTTTCTGTATTTTCTCACCATAAATATGTTCGTTAAAAATGCTTTGCGAAAAATGCTATAAAACGGTTTTATACAACTTTTGCTATAATTTTCGAAATTCTCATTATGGTAAATTTATTATGAACTACCCCTAAGGGTAAATTTGCTAATAAAAGGTAACTCTAAGAAAAATATTCCGTGAGAATAACCACCCCTTTTATGTGCTACTTATGAGTAAACAATAATTTTATGGGAAGTTTTCAGTTCCATGTAAAACATACCTAAGGAATTTGGAAATGAAAATTGTAGTTTCTTAAAAGCTCTTTTATGCTGTATTTGTGAACTTTAACGTTTTTGTTTATGAGTTTTTAGTGAGCTTTTTGTTATACAACAAAGAAAAATGATAGAAGTGACAGCTGTTTCGGAATCAGACTTAAAAGCTTAAAAGCTTTCACGTTCTTTGAGTGCTTTGAGTTTCCAAACTTAATCTAAAGAACTTTTTTGTTATGCGTCCAAAAAAAAAGGAAAATTATGTAATTTATAAGGTAAGTAGATTTATTTAAAATGAAGTATATAAATAAGAAAATAAATATAAGAAAATAATAACATTTTAATATTTAAATAATAACATTTTAACAATATAACATTTTAATATTTAGCAATAATAATTATAGCAGATTAAGAATAAATTAAATTAAAAATAAATTTAATTTAATAAATAAATATTATTTTTAGTGCTGAAGCATTTGTTTATGCCTCACACCTGATTTGTTCTATTTAAAACTAACAAAATAAATATTAATAAAATACAATTTGGCTCTTGAAATTTCACTTTATTCATATTTCTATTAACTTACAATTTATTTTCCTCGTTTTATTCAAATTACAATTACAATACATACCATCATTTGATAAACAATATCAATATATTTATGTTTATTCAAATGTTCTAACACATTTTCGATTTCGATTTTTCGCAATTTCGAATTACAACTAAGATATTTAAATTAAATCACAATAACATATGTACGTTCACATACAACAAATATACATTTTTGACGAACAATGATAATGTTTTCACTTTTTTTTTTTTGTTATTCTATAACTAAAAATATTAGACCATTTTAGTGTTTGCTTTTTTTTTTAAATTTTAATATTTCCTCTTGAGAGCATCTTAAACTATGGAGCTTGCATTGGCTAAACATGTCGAGGATTTTATTAGGATATGAAAATATAATATTATAAAAAAGAAAATAATTAAAAAAAATAAAAATCCACATCACTTGAAGTACATTATGAGCAAAAGTCATAAGAAGTTCATTACCTCCCTGCTTTGGTTAAGACTCGATTTGAGAGGTCTTGAAGGAGACGACTTTGGAAAATATTATGCAGAATTTACATATCAAGAAGAGTTTTCAGTAATCCAATTTTAATTGAAGAACAAATTTTTGTTCCAGTAGCACAAGCTTTTAAGCTTCAAAGCTTTCGAGGTTTTAGAGGAACACCTGAAGAAAAGTGCCAGGATGGAGATCCCAATATATTTTTAGGGTGTACGAGATTCATGAAAGACATCTCCCCTGCAAGGTTTCACGTGCACTTATGTTAGCAGGTTAGGACCTACTCTTAACACATCCACTACCTACAGTAGCTGTTGGAATTAGAGAAGCTATTTTCAGACGATATCGTGGTGAATGTTCAGATCAGTTCCCTTCTTCAATCAGTGAAATTATGGAAGAATTTTAGTACATTTGTGGCCCGCAAACAAGGTATTAGGGAAAATTCCTATAAGATTGACTTGTTGTTTTTCTCAAATAAAACCAAAATACCGTAATTTTATCTTCTATTTCTCAGCAATATAACAGCATAACATTTGAAGTTTAGCAAAACGAATGAGTTATGAAGGCATGTGTGACTTATATGAGCAAAAGTCATAAACGGAGCACTGGTTTGGAGTTAAAATGTTGGAACCAAATGGGCTCTAGGCAAAGCAAGATTAAGAGCCACCCCCAAAAACTATAAATAAATAAAGACAATATATATATAATGTCAATCCCTCCAAGTATATTTCTGGCATGAATTAAAAGCTTCTCATAAGGAGCCATCAGCCGAAGGATATAAAAGGGAACCAAATGCACAGTCAGTCAAGCGGCGATTTAACGTTGCCTATGGTAAATTCCAAAGTTGCTAGCTTATCAACTCTGCTTAAGAATATTTGCGATAACGAAAAAGCTTACGATTTTCCAACTCGGGGGCAGGAACAATCTCGAAAGAGCTTCAATTATAATTAGCTCCGTGCAGATTGATATGTGATATATCACTCTATAAGATAATCAAGCATATTTGAGCCAAATATGACAGGTTATGGATCTAGTATTAAATAAATCTACAAATAAAATATATAGACTTACAGCCTCTGTAGCGGTTCCTTTTGGGAGCATGCCTATAAAGCAGACCTATTCTAATACGACCATTGCCGCAGCTGCAAACTGGAAGGTATTGAGGAAATAATTGTTCAATTTCTCTCTCTCTCTCTCAAACACACATATCCTACATAGAACTCTTGAAATCACCGAATCTTGAATGGTTGTCCGCCAGAACCGATATAAGTAGATTCACTGAGAACGTCAACTTGCACGAGGGAAACGATTATAAGGTTTTACGAAACTGCCAATTGGACTCGAAGCTAAAATCTTTTCGAAACGCTACCAGCTCGATTAAGCTTCTACTTCATCAATCTGCTTACGCGATCGTTGAGAAATACTGAGGCTACCTTAGAGGAGTGTGTCTTCTAGGATGAGTCCGGTCGGCATTTATTTAGTCAAATAAGGGATTTTTTTATAAAAAAAGTCTATAATTATTAGCTCTCATCTTCTTCTGCTACTCACAAGTTATTTGCTGATCTCACTTTCTTTTTCTCCTTTCCTCTCTATCTCTCTTTCTTTCTCTCTCTTTCTTTCTCTCTCTTTCTTTCTATCTCTTTTTCCCCATCTCTTATTCCCGCCCTTATTTTCTCTCTCTCTCTCTCCCTATCTTAATCTCTCTTCTGGGTGGGGAAAAACGGGAAAAATAGAATAAATTCTTTCGAACTCAAGTAACTAGAATATTTAAGACTCATGGTGGCCTAAGTTAATTGAAGTCGTGGCACTCCCAATCTCACAACTTTTCCTAAAGATGAGTGCTCTACCTAGCCTTTGTCTTTTTGTTTATTTTCTTGATGTATTTTATTTCAAGCTTGACCATATCGAATCAACTAAAAATTAAATTATTAAAATATAATAATAATATTAAGGCACACAAATGAAATTGTTGCAACAATAATGGAATGAAATTTAAAGTATTTCTGGTTGGTTCCAACACGCATAAAAATAAATACAGTATGTGACTTAATGCATAAATATTTTCATTGTTTTTTTTTGTATAATTCCGAATAATAAATTTTCAACTCGATTTTGGTATTGTTTGCTTATTAATTGTTTTAGTGATTTTTGTTTTATTTAGGTATGTATGTATGTATGCATATATTAAAAATATATCTCAAGTCATTACTAGAATCTGAAGCATTTCAACTTCTTGTATTCCTTTTTGTCACGCTGAATAAAATGCGACTAAAAGTTTTTAGTTTTGCTGTCTTCGAAATCCCGTACCAACGGAGTTTTGACGTTATACAAATGGAGTATCTTTTTTACCACTAATTTAATTTCACTATTTTCTAACACTTCTTCCCACTACTGTACTTTGTGTTTTTGTTTTAATACTTCTTTTCTTTTTTATTGGCTATGAATTATTGTGATATTTTTTTGTTGAGTATTAAAATAAAAAAACTAGTCTTACAGTACAGAGTTTCAAACGTTCAGCGCCCAAAGGTAGGCAATGATAAACCGCGCACTTTTGTTGGCAAATTAAATTAATTTTAAAAATATATACGTTGCGTACGCACTTTTGTCCAATTTTCCGGCTATTCACGAAATTATTTGGCTTACTGTCTTTGGAATAATTGCGCCCAAAACTATGCTATGAATTTTGACAACTGCATATTTTTTTAACTTTCCTTGAGTATGGAACACACAGGCCGCGACACTACGACAAGCGGCATGTCTTTCAAATGTAAGACACATCGAAATAACGATGTCGAAGACCGCACATCACCTAAATCGGTGGGGATGACCACAACAGATAAATCTAATTTCATCTCAAAAGAATATACAATAAGTAGATTAAATTTTTTCGAAATAAATATATGTGATTTGAAAAAAAGACTTCAAAAAAAATGAACAAAAACCCCGACAATGCCTCCACTCGACCGAATGATAGTCCACTCCATTCATTCCTTTTGAAGACACTTGATGATGATCTAAGTGCTTACATTAAGAATAAACTAAAGGGAGGGTATATGGGCTAAAGGGTGAGTCTACTAAAACTCTATTTCATCCACTAACCTTTAATACAGAGAGAGATCTGGAGCACAAGGAAAACGCTCTGATTGTCCAATAGAGCAGTCGTGTATAGTCATCCAATGAGTAAAACGGCTACTGAGCAGCAGAAAAAATCGTTAAGTTAAATGAAGTCAAGCTCTTGAAGAGTTATTGCCTATCGCTTTGACATAGATATGTTATTGACGGGAAAGTTCTTCTTTACCATTTGCAAACTGATATTGTTAGAAGGTTTTAAGATGCATACACCAATGGAGGATATTGGTCAATTGGTCGGCGGTAAATACCAATAAAAAGAAAGCAATACTTTTTACAAGGTGGTACAAGATCTCTGCGTGGTGATCTTTGTGATTCATTAAGTACCTCAAGAGGAGAGAAGAGGGTGAACAGAACCAATATTACCATTTACGTATGTAAGAAGATACCAGATTCTTGCTACGTGGGACCTTTCGACTGACCAGAAGCTGGATGGATCAATCTTGCACCATGGTACTTTACTCGAAGGGCTGTACTTGGAGAATTACCCAACCTACCATCGATCGCCTGCTATGAGATTAGTGGTGTTAAGTGAATTTTCTGCTTTGATAATACTCTATCGTTTCACATGGGGAAGAAGGTGTCAAGACGGTGGTTTGTGCAAGAATGTTTGGGGTTGCAGTGGCACTTTGTCACATTTATGCCGAGTGATCCAAGTTGACTAAGACAGCGGGTGCTAGATCTCAAAAAACCTTTAAGCTTTTGGAGCATTTTTCAGATGAGGGTCTGCGGGAGTGGAAAGTCACTGAGTCAATTAACATAGCGGAGTGTCATGAACGCTAAAGACGCTCAATGAAATTTCTGGGACAGCTGGGAAACGGATCGGCAAAGAAGACCGCCAAAGTCATGTGCCACAGCAGCATAAGGTAAACAAACCCACTTTTTGCTTTCACAGTCACGAAAGGACTACAATACTGTAGTAGACCACAAGCTACTGATACAGTACGCGAGTAAAATGAGCATAAGTGGCAGTGGTAGCTCATTTAAAAAGGGTAGAGATCCAGACTTTAAGCCAGGCATTGGAACACGCTCTCTGTTAATGTACGGCCTATCTAGAACACGTCTCATGGAAGTTTCAAAAGAAGTTAAGAGATCTTACACTTTAAAAGTCGCGTTGATGTGCCGCCCTGTAACCGCTGAAACGATGTTCGGCCGAGCTCCACCTCCAATTTCTGGTATGCATTTGGATGTTTTTCAATAAATCAAGGACCTACAGTTTATTCAAAGCCACCTCTGGACGGGAGGGAATATAAAACTTCCGGCCGAGCGGCAACCGCAATTAGAAAAAAAAATTTCTATAATTTTAGATGTTAGTTAAAGCAGGACTCGGACACTGGCCGTCAGAATGGCAGAAAAATTTAACTCGGTTTAAACTTGAATTTTCATCTGGTACTATAATGGACCAACAGGTTGGATAGAATCGCGTATCGAGTGACCAGCATTTATACCAATAACAATGCCTTGACTTGAAGTCCAACGTAGAATCACACTTGCCAACAGGTGCTACTTTGGACTGAGTAGGCAATGGAATATTAAAGTCATCTCTCGGCGAAGAAAAGCTAAACTATACAGATCGCTCATCGTTCCTGCTCTACTGTATGGTGCAGAACTGTAGAGAGTGCCGATGTATGATGAGTCGACTTTCGAAGTCTTCGAAAGAAAAGTTTTGCCGAGGTTGCCGTATAGTCATGCCGTGTCGTTGCCTGAGTGTTTACAACTTAAGTGCTCAAAGTAAATATTTTTGCATTATTTTTTGTTAAAATCTATTTTAGGGATCATCGTAGTTGAAACAGAATAATTCTGTTGCTTCGAATTTTTGTATGTATGTTGCTTAATATATGTATGTATGAGTATATTAAAATGTATTTGGTATGAGTATGGCGTAATGTTAGTAGCGAGTAAAATGTATTATCTCTTTTCCAAAACCTTTTTCTATCCACTTATTGTTTTCTGGTTCACTACGTTCTATTATTTGCTTATTTTGATTTTAATAAATTTGTTTTTTCAAACCAAATGGGCGTATTTAAAAAAAAAGTTTAACAAAAAATATTCCCGCCTCCATTTTAGTCAAGCACCCATAGCGAGGTCTATGTGATTAGAAAACAAGCTTCACGCCCTGAAATTAATCTCTATAACATCAGTACCTAATTCAGCTATATACAGTAATTTCTCACGCTATTTAAGTTGCCCCACTTTGAAAAAAGTTAACGGTACTTGCTTATGTAAAATGATAGGCTCTTCTTCGGCATAAATTTAGTGAAGCGAGGAGAGAATTCAAAGAAGTCGTTTAAAGGTATACTTTTATTTTACTATTATAAGTTTTACTCTCGCTCTCTCTCTCTCCTTCCCTCTCTCCTTCCCTCTCTCCTTCCCTCTCTCCTTGCATTTTGCACTCAGCACTTTACGTTAAGAATTTTAAAAAACTCCAACCTCTTCAAGTATTTCTATAAAATTCTTCGCTTACTCTCTCGCCCTCCCCCTCCCTCTCTGTCTCTCTCTCACTCTCTCTCTCTTTCTTCTGAGGCCCGCTTATATCTGCTGCATCAACTCAATCGACGTTTGTGGATCTGTCGTACTTATGCTCGTCTCCCCAGTCAAATCGCCGAGACCTGCCGTCGAGACAGTGCTCACCACTGCCGACACAACATTATCGATAGTGCCAGCGACCGAGCTTAAGATCGCTGCCGCTGTTGATGTAACAAACGCCGCAGTCGGCGTTATAAGTGTGGGCAATAGCGGCGCTACGGTTGTGCTTGTTGTAGTGACCGCTGCTGCTGCTGCTGCTGTTGTTGCTACAGCTGCTGTTGTTGCCGCCATAGTAGTTGTACTCGCCTCAGTGGTGGGCAGCAGCGTTGAAACTGTTGTGGTGAGTAACGCCGCCGCTACAGCTGTGGTATTTAAAATGGGCGCTGCGGTGCTGGTTGTGGTCGTGGTGCTGCTGATGAATTGCGCATGCGCACCTGTTGGATCCAACATAGAGGCTGGCGCATATGGGTACGTCGGGCATGGATTTGTCAGCTGTGCGCCCAACATAGATTCAAATACATAACCAATGAGTGAACCAGTTGTGAGGCCGACATTATACGACAAGGTCATCATATTGCCTGTGACTTCTTTCAGCGTGCCGGGTACTTTGGCTGGCGCTAGCATCATTGGAAGACTCCCGGCCAGACCGTTACTAACGCCCAAGCCAATTGTAAAAATAAACGCAGCTGTCTCACCGGAGATTACCGGTTGGTGACGCGGCGCACAGCACAATAATAGCAGCGGCACTAAGACGATACGCAGACCGGACATTAAAATCAATTGACGTCGTGACCATGGATATGGCACTGCAGCGAGTATCTTGCCAATCACATCCGCTGTGTTGAAAGTAAACATAAGCATTACGGGCAACCAGGTGCCAAGACTACAGGAAATTATCTCCGATTCAATGCCAGGGTAGAGTGAGAGCGTAACGCAGTAGGCCAAAGCAATGCACACCATATACGGGTATATAGCTTGCGCAACAGTCCAACGTGAGACGAAGCCATTTTTCAAATCGCTCAATTTTCCGGGCGTACATGTGCCCGGTGTGAGTACGTGCTCTACCTTGAATGCGACTGTGGTCGGTGTGGTGGGCTCCTGCGGTGTACTCGGCATATCGGGCAGACTATTGAGACCCTCGATTACACTTTCGCCTGCTGTGGGATTAGATAGCTCATAAACGGGATTACTGAAACTGAGCGCGCCTGTTGCGCTGTTTGCTGCATTCGATGGTGGTGAAGTGGGTTCCAGTGTTAGCACGCCATACTTGGCGATGGGCATGTCGCCATCGAGTTCATTCTGTTATTGAAAAGCGTGAAAAAAACATTACTACTAAGTTAAGGTAAACACAAACAACCAAATACTCACCAATCGATCCTCATCAGGCCTGAGCACAATTTTTGCACAAGCTTTCATGTGATATCGCACGAAGGGCGAGTTTATAGTGACCAAATGTAGCGCATAGCTGAGCAGTACATACAAAGTTGAGGTTAGAAAGAATATCACCGTCGATAGACGATCGTTTTGTATCAACATTTTTGTAACCACACGATTGGAAGATACCAGAAAGCCCGCAATACTCTCGCCGGCCATCACTGCTTGGGTATATTGCTTCGGCAACATGCTGGCAAATCCATAAAAACTGGATTGTTGAACTGTGTCAAAAAAAAGGAGAAAGAATTGAGGCAAATTTTTATAATAGTGAGCTCTCACCTAAGAATGATATTGAAGGGTGAAATTAAAGTAATAATAATAATAATGAATTTAAATGAGTCAATAAAGACGGACAAAAATAATATAAAAACCGCCTCGAAGATCGCCGCGATGCATCGACGTGCCTAGTGAGCATCATATGCGACAGTGGTAAGAATTATAATCTCCAAAACTCTCCCGACAGTATCGTCCAAGAAAATTCTAAGCTCTTGCTGTAAGCCCCACAAACTAATTACGTTCCGTTCCCATCTTGCCGGCATAAGCTTTAAGCATCAGTAGGCAATATAACCATTGTCACCACAATGGGACACTCCAACCTTTCTGTGTTGTTCCCACGGTCTCTTAATTCCTTGTAGTGTATCTAATCTCCATACATCTCGTACAGCTCATAATTGGATCATCCGTAGCCTACCCCTACGATGAGCGCCCTGTTTGGATTTTTGATTTTGATTTGGATTTTCTCTGGCAACAGAAGTCTTTTTCCATTATCAACTCAGCTCAAATTAGACGACCCTCTAACAAACAGAATGGACTCGGTGCGCGAATTGGCCTGGTAACAGTGTACTTGTCGCTAGCTCTCCACCCAAGCAATCAGGCAGTGATGTAACTGAAAATCGAGAACTCCTTATTGATGCTGGTTTTGTAGAGGTAGAGCATGCATCACCTGGGTAGTTGGCAGTCATCAGAATATTTTGAGGTCAGAAATCCAAATAAAGAAAAATCAAACAAAGCTCTCTGCAGGGTGAGCTCTACGATATTGTTTGCTTCTTAAATATCGAAGCTCTCTCCATCATCAGGGGGTGTTACCTCGGTGTCATATTCCTATGACTACTCGATATTGTTGACTGGTTAGGATATTTATGATCTCAAGCAGAGGAAAATTACAAACAGGGAAATCCAAGCGATTCCTTTCGCTAAATCCAGGAAGGAATATCTGACCGACCTGTATGCCTAAGTGAACGTCATCAAAATTTCCACAGTTAATAACCCAAGGCTAGAAATAAAATCAACTAGTTTCTTAAGGCGCTAGTTGAGACCCGACACGATATTCTCAACGTATGTCGTGCATGCAATGAGTACCCGCAAGACACTAACCACTACCTTGCATACCCACTAAAACATCTACTGTTTTGAAAGCTCCCTAGAGGGATTACTACTGTTACACAAATATTCCAACGACTCCCAACGTTTTGTTACTTTTCGCATCTGCAATTGCCATAACAACTTATAATCGATTGGTGAGGCGTCTCTTTGGGTTCCCTTTCTTAGTGTGTTTCATATTCGCGGCAAATAATTAGACTGATGGATATCAGCCACCAGAGCGATCGTCTTCTTTGTCTTATATGAGAATATTGTACGTCTTTTAAGCGACTCCGAATCAACAATGTATTGAAAAAGATTGTGAGACGACCTTCGTACGTGATAAGTGTGATAGTGAACGATACTATGCGGCGGCGGATTCTCTCCTTCCTCACATTCAACACCAATTCCTTCTCTACCTGGTCTTTCCAATGGAATCCAGAGGTCTTCCTCTTCTTTTACTTCCTCCGGCGGGAATTTCACAGAAATCTTTTTAATCTGGAGTGTCCTTCTCGCACAACTCATTGTTCCATCGGCTGCGGTATACTCGCGCAGAGGACCATAAATTTTACGCAAAACCACTCAATGTCTTCGTACATGAGGACATTGTTGTTGGCTCCAATATAGACGAAATTTAATAGGACTCCAAAGTTATCACTATCAGCAGCGACGTGGGGGCCAAGTAGCTGTTTTATTTGATGTCAGAAGGTTTTTTGTGTCAGCCTCGTTCACTACTAGACCCATACGCAGACAGACAGACAATATTTAGAGCCACCATGATTTCAGCTCCCTTATAACGCTACCGTATTACATGTACTATCAACCGACTTCCATCCGTTCATCGAAATACTTTTACGGCAAATCAAAATCCTTGGTAGGTTTGCAGTGGCCGTCTTCAAAGGTAAGTTCCTCGTTGACCACCTGGTATCCAAAACCGGGCTTGTCGCTTCGGTAGAATTCAAAGCACATTTCCATAACGAGCGGTTTGCTTAAAGAACCGATGCCCACTTGCACTCGCACCTCAGGTGCACAGACACTCCGGCAAGACTCCACAAAAACTCATAAAACGAATATTTCGGATGGGCTTCACTAAAGCTTCCTCTCTTTTAGCCGCGAGAATAATTTATTCAGCAAGTGGAAATTATTATAATTCGCCAAACTTTTAGTTAAATATTAATGAATTCATAATAAATGGGGGAAAAGACGAAAATTGACGAGACATAAAATTTGCATTCAATGAAAAAAAAAATATGTAAGAAATTTGCCAACAAATATACATACTCATACACCACCTCCCTCCTACCTGTACAACCGATGGCCACCAATGAGACAGCAGCCAAGTTCACCGAATATGCTGTATTGGCAGCAAACATATGAAATGCCACCTCGCAGACCGCCACAAAGATGAGTGTCGTAAAGGACACCACATAACCGAAAAGGATACGCACACGAAATGGCGCCAACGATAGAAAAACATTGTTAAGCAAAACCGTGGCAAATGCGACAATTATATACGTCATAGACATGTCCAATGCCACGGAGCGACCGGGGAAGCGTGCTTGCCAATAATCGGCGGCGATGATGAAACTGCAAAAAGAAAAAAAACATAATATTAAAAATTATTGGAGAAACTAACGTGTGTACATACAATGAATTTATATAGTACCTAAATATATTATAATAAATGTACATGATATCACCGTTATTTGCATAGTAAATGGTATAAAAATCATTCTTATTTATAAATATAAACAATAACAATGCGATGAGGCGTAAATGCGTCAATAACCATTACTCTTCCACATGTGAAGTGAAAGTATATTTTGTCATAAAAGCAACAAAAAATCGTTCACAGCGATAGAACTATCACTAGATGCTGGAGTATCGTGGGGCAAATCCGGTTTTTCGATTAATTTATGTACTCTCTACAGCAACCCATAACGCTCGGATAACATTATTAATTTATTATCTGATCTTTTGACGAGAGTTCGGAGTGTTCAACACCACAATATTCAAAGAACGGCAACTGTTATTTGGACTTTTGTTTAAGCTTTACATGATTCTTACGGTTTCCACTAAAGCTCAAGTTAAAGTTCGAACATTTCCGAGCAGCTCAAAGAGAATATTTCCGAGCACATGCGCTAGCTTGAGTAATTAGAACATCAAAGCGAATTTATAGAATCTATTTCACTTCACATCATATAAAAGGAAAAACTTTTGCCTAAAAAATTTAATTAAAATTATTTATGCAAAGTGTGTTTGACAAACAAAATCAAAAACAGAAAATTTTGATCTACAATATTTTGCACTTCAGTGACTATCAGTTGAGAACGTTGCTGGCCGACTCAAGAGAGTCGATCGCTTCTCAAAACCATCGTAGAGGCTTACAAGTATGGAATCCTGTGAAATTTGTAGAAATCTGGCAACTCGCGTTTGACTGTCAATATCAGGGTTTCGCTGTGAAATATAAAATCATAATGGTTGCGACCAAGTTGACAGGCAAACTAGATGATGCGGGCATCGCTGAAATGAAAGATTTGCAGAATAAATACGCAGACAATGAAAGAATCAACGAATAGGGAAATGTCGTACCAAAACGGAGAGTAAAGAATTTGATAGCGAGTAATGATGGAATGAGAGAAATTTAAATACGAAATGTCGAAAAAAGGAAATACGGGGTATGACAATTAAGTACAATTCTACAACTCTGTCATCCCATCAAAGAAGTCCTCTTGGGCAGCTATACAACGAATCCAGCGCGATTTCCATGCTTCGTAACATTTCTGGAACGCTTCGACTGAGATGTCCGCGAGTACCTCATTACGGCCGCCTGGATGTTCTCAATCGACTCAAAATGGGTTCCTTTGACCACCAATTTTTTTTTAGAGAACAAAAAAGGTCGCAGGGTAACATATTGGGCAAATAAGGCGGTTGTCACAACACGTCGATTCCTTTAGAGACCACACGCACGTTGTCGCGATTAAGGCTCCAGCTACGAGCAATGTCTGGGCGCACCCTGTTGACTAGTTTTTCCAATTTTTGGAGTACTTGGAGATAGTAAACTTGATTTCTGCTTGCTTGCCCCTGTGGAAGAGATTTTTATGAACTATCAAAAAAGACAATAACCATAGTTTTCCACGCCTCGTCTTACATTCTTTCATAGCCCTCCTTAAACTCTTTATGCCATCGAATCTGTTTCGCCCAATTTGGAGCAAAAGTTTATCGTGACGAGCACCACGAACACACATTTACTCAACACGACACAGCAGGCGAACTAAAGAAGCTAGAGCGATGGCAAATATATCAATGGAGAGGAAAAGGATGCCGTGAGAAGGGAAAGGGAATTTCAAGGTCACAAGGTTACCACAATCGCAGCAATATGATCAGTCTTATTACTTAATTGTCCTACCTCGTAATGAAAATAAGTTAGAAATCAGGTGATATCAGCTGTTTTCCAATGTAAACCAAAAAATGGCTTTCCATACTTGTAAACCTCTACAATGCTCTATACCACTCACATGTATTTGACATTCTATATTTTGGCAAACGGCTCACAGAACTATCAGTAATAACAGAGAGGGCACTTAATAGCGCAGCTTTTTAAGCTGAGAGACAAGAATTCTCAGTGTATCCGCAAAAAATCAGAGATCTGTCTCTTTAAGAGAAAGACCAAAGTTCATCAATTCAACCAACCAACCCACCAACTCTGACAAGTAGCTCGATGAAATCATTGAGAAACAAAAAAATCAGCAGGGAGAAACCTATTGGAAGCAGGGCCAATAAAAGCTCCGAATTTGGAATAGAAAATCTATTGCATCGAAAATGGAAGCTGGGACCGCACATGGTACATTGGCTTTAAGCAACTATCCTTAGATCTACACTAAGATATGGCTTCCAAGTATGATGCGGGTATTAAAGCTTTGTAACAAGTAGAACGTACCTGCCTACTTCGTATAGCAGGTGCAATGAAAACTACCTTAACAAAGACTCTTATACATTACTAGCGATGTATGAAACCGCGCTGGCTGCTTGCCGCCTAAATGACCTAGAAAGGGTATTGCATTCAGAATATTATATCCGAACTCGAGCTTAACGTAAAACATGACCGAGAAGCGGAAACTTTCTTTCCGGTAGATGTCAGCTGCTCCTTCTCCAGCAGGAAAGAATAGACAGCGGAAGACCAAAGAAAGAATGTGCACGCTCATGATAAACCATAAATATATTCTTATCTATACTGATGAGTTCGCGGCCGCCATAGCCGAGTGTTTAGCATTGCGTACTACCATTCCGAAGGCCAGGATCGATTCACCGGTTACAAGGCGTCAATTGTATGTGTAAGAAAGTTTTGAGTGTAACCTCGCTATTTTTGTAGATTCTTTTTAGCGATAAGGCTCTAAATTTGTTTCCTTCAAGCAGCCATTATTACCTAGAACGTATCTGAGGTTTACAGCAATGGAAAATTATTTTCTTCTAGTTGTTGATAAAGTTTTAATTTTTTCAAAAACACGGTAATAAATAGACGCTTAGTATCTTCCGTGACATAGAAGGGGCTTTTAACAACAGACTTACAACTCCGTATAGAAGCTCTTAGAGAAATGGGCATCTCCAGAGTCTCTTCTAAGAAACACAATCATTTTCGCATAGCTGGAACTCACCTGTCTTACCAGGCACACAGACAAGAACCCTCAGGGAGGAATCTTATCACAACTACTGTGGTGCCTCACATTAAATATAGAAGCTTGAAAAGCTTCAAAAGCTTTAAAACAAAACATCTTCAATAGGAAATTGGTGAATGGACAACGGGTTGAATGTTAACCCAGAAAAAACCGAAATAGTTATATTTACCAGGATGTACAAGCAGCTTCCTTTGAAGTCACCTATGAGATAATCTTGTATAGAAAACTATATTGGAGCCCGAACAGAGCTGAAAGGTCGAAGAAGGATATAACCGACGCTTGCAAATTGGTGTTAGGAAAAAGATGTGGTCGAAATATGTGTGCGGCGTTTATATGGCGTTAGTTAGACCAGTCCGTATGCTGGTCCGCACTTGAAAATATTGACTTTCAGGAGCTTACTAAAAATAGTACAACGGTCGGCTGATATTCTCGCAACAGCAACACTGTCATCCACTCCCTCAAAAGCAATGCGAAATCTCTTCAACTTCCTTCGTCACAGCGGAATCACAATGGGCATATTGACGTTAGTGCGTTGGTCACTGACCAACAGCCGCATCAACTCAACTCTCACCTCAATATACGCTGAAATGATGAGCTCAATACCTTTCTGAGGCTGTTTCACTGTACACTGAAGAAGTCAGTCTGGGGAAAGCAGAGCAAGAAGCTGCCTACGGACTTTAAATTCGAAAGACCTTTGCGTGATTGTCTAGCAAAAATCGAATTGAATTATTAAATCAATTGAGTAAGCTTTGGCTTAAAGAGAACGCTACAGTATACAGTTATGTATTTGTTGTATCAGATTTAGAGCTTTAACACTGTTTCAAAACACATTCAAATGAAAAATAGCGTAGTGCAAATTAATTATATACTGACGAATTCGTTAACGAACACACACACACTTAAACAATGTGGCTCTCAACATAGCGAAATTATCATTAATTTATTAATTGGACAGTAGTCATAATCAGTTATTTGACGTCATTACTACATACCGCTTTGTAACCGCTGAAGCGATTTTTCGGCCGAGCTCCGTCTTGATATTTTTCCTACTAATGGTGGGACCTACAGTGTATACTTAACCGCCTCCGAACGGTTGATGATTTTTTTTGCGATTTTTTATTTAAATTAATTTTCTGCAACATTTCGATATTGGTCGTACCTCACCTCTAAGAAAAAGCACTACTGAACTGCAATAGAATGATAGCGAATTCGAAGAACTAATGAACTAAGAGTAAGAGTCACTGACCCTAAATCTGTTTTAATTATCATTAAAAAAAAAAAACAATGTATTATATGTAAGTTCCTAATGGAAATAAAAAACCCGTCTTAACTTCTGACCGAGAGGATCTATTCTTGGATCAAAATCTAAATTTTTGACAATAAATCATGCTGACGAAGTGCTCCAAACACATCATATATTCGTCGATTTCGAACTGGTCTTCGGTGACAGATGAAACGGCTGCCTATTAGCCTCTTTTTGGTATATTCGTTAAACTTATGTGCATCTGTAATTTGGCTCTAAAAAGCACCAAAAGCACCATCGTTATTGAAAAGGTCTTCTCCTGGATAGCAAATAAGGTTTCATATGAGATATTTTTCAATAACTCGTAAATATCCAGAGACTAAATTATCTCCTGTCTTAAATAAACAGTAAATATACCCTCGAATTTGACCCCATCTCACTATTGATTGTCTGAACTTTCAAGCTGTAGGCCAACTCGTCTTAAAATCTAACTCAGAACCACTCTTCTGAACAGGAACCACTTCTGGCTGAGTAGGCTATTGATTAAATTAAAGCTCAAATGAAATGTAGATCATTTGGCCATTTATTTCTTTTTTGGAAAAGTTGTTGAAATGCATGGCTTTGGAAGTTTGGAGTTCTTCTCGTGATAAACCCTTAATAATATTGAGAATTTAAAAACCCAAAGTCGAAGCCAAATGGGAAGTCACAAAAGTTTCGACGTGAGTTAACTCAGCAGCCGTGCATCGATTAAGTCAATTCAACTTTTGGCGATGAAACTCCATGAAATACCAATGTTTATCGATGGTATAGTGAGCTCAATCGAGGTCTCAAATCACTCCACGACGAATTTCGTGAAGCCTGTCCAAAATCAATTGTTGTTCCGTAAACTATAGATGCAGTTCGCAAACTGATATAGCAAAATCGCCATAAAACCTATCGCGAGTTTGAGACAGCTATCGACATTAGTGGGACTAACATACATTTTATATTTCATGAATATTTGACCTTGAATGCCACGGAACTTATCAATCGTTATAAGAGGCTAGTGCCGATTAGTCGAGAGAAATGTTGCGGTGGTTCGGGACACGTATATCACACCATAACTAGTAATGAATCGCTGATTTACGCGTATGAGTTTGAAAGTAAACATCTGACGGCAGTATAGGTCTTCAAAGATAAGCCGAGTCCAACAAAATTTCTTCGCGCGCGAGGCACTTCCACGCCTAATGGTTGCCCGTTAATTTTTTTTGGGGGAACCTGGCCATTTTTAAACGTACTACTATCAAAAAAGGTTATTTCTGAATGGTGCACAACTAATTTTTTGGCCATTTTCTTTCAATATATCATGAAAAGCAGTCAACGAAGATGGATCACCCTTCGGTACAACAATACTAGCAATCTCTCATCGACTAAAGCCACTGCAATTTGAGTCGTGCAGTCTTAACTTTGAGCTGAATAATATTTTTGTGCCAGACCCTAGACTCTTTGTAATCATGGCAGCCGTCCAGCTGCTATAATCTACGATAGCAGGATATTCAGTTGCTAAAAACTCTGCCAGTCAAGCTAGCATCAGATCTCCCCAATGTTAGTAACCTTTTCAAAGCTGGCAAATGTAGAACCAATCTGAACAAACTCTCGACTAACTGCAAGACTGCCGTGGTCTGGGTACCCGGACATAGTGACAACCCAGGCTATTGCATGGCGGACGAACTGGCGAGAGAAGGAAGCTTTTTATCCACATAAAACTTGCTTACGATGCAGTTAACTTTTGCCCAAGGTAGAGTATATGGTAAAACTGACTTTTGCCAAAGAAGTAAACTCTAGATGGCTGATTGACAGCAGACAGTTAAGGCCAAAATTAGACGCGAAAATAACAAAATATCTTACCTTTCTAGACTGGTTCACCATTAGCATAATAATAACAGTTCACTGTTTGGTGGGGCTTCATGGGCAAAGAATGGGTTATTACTGTAATGATTTTTGACGTAGCTTTAGGGACGAAGCAATAAAAAAAAGTCTATTGAAAACTAAGTCTAACACTATTCTTCGGCGAAACACTTCTTTGACTGTGTCGCTGAGGTAGCTTCAGGGAAAATTGGTACAGACAGAAGCCTCATAACGGTATTACATTGGCCAATGTGCCTTGGGCACAGATCAAAAACCGCATCAAATTTTCAACTCAACATCCCCTGAACTAATGGGTCATATACCTTTCTGAGCTGATTCTCTACACATCGTATAGTCCTGACTTGGCACCTAATGACTTCCTTTTATGCCCCTACGTAAAAGCTATACTGAGAAGTCAAAACTTTTCGCCTCCTGAAGAGACGCTTGATGACTTCCAAACGCATGCTTTGGAGATATCTCAATCAGAGTGGCAAAATTGCTTCGACAATAAACTCAAACGCATGCAAAAGTATAAAAATCTTAATGGAGAGAAAAACAAACAAAATAAAATGATTTTCGAAAATTAATATTTTTGTTATAAATATAAGGGAATGTATAAATTCTTAATAAATTATAAAAAAAAAAATTCACTAAACACATTCCAAACTTACCTGTTGTAGGGCAACACAAAGCCAATACCAGCGGCCAACAAGGCTATATAAACGGAATGTTTTTGATCTTTAGGTGTACGTATATCCGCCTCCGGACTATCCATGGGCTCGTGTCGTATGCCAGCACTACGACCTTCTAACGGTTCATAAGTTGTTGCCTGAGCGGATTCCATTTCCGCTATTCAACCGCAAGCCGTATGCGCTTTCAAGGTATGCAAATGTACTTGATAATGAGACAGTGGACAGTATTTAGAATGATTGTTGTTGTTGTTGTTTTTTCTTTTTGTTGCACAAATGCAAACAGTTTAGAGTAGTTTGCGGCGCACAAGCAAAAAAAAAGAAATTTTTAATTGTAAAAACAATTGGAACTTAAGGGATTATCATACATACATATGTATGTGTGTGTGTTTGTTTGTAGGAGTAAGTAGTATTTTCACTTCAACATTACGTGGTGAGCATAAAAATATTATTTTATATTTACTATATCTCTATGTATTTATATTTATTACATAATTATTTTAAATGTTTTTTTTAAATAATTTTTTTTTAATATTTTTTTTAAATATTTTCAATTTTTTTTTAATAATATTTTATGTCATGTTAAATATGATATATTTTTTTTAGTATTATAAATATTTTTTCTTAATTTTTTATTTCATTTTTTCTTCTATGTATTTGTGTTTTTTTTTTTTTAATTATAATTTATTAAACAAACATTCGCGTAAGCCGCTTATTTCGACACGAAAAACCTTGCCACACACATTTCATCAACCTGCCGTGATTTTAATCGATAAAAGTTGGTGCAATGCCCACAACACAGCAGCACACCTTAAAAGGATTTGTATTTTCTATTAACACTTGCAAATTTTTTTTTTAATTTTAATTAAGTTTACTTTTAAAATGCATATGTATTTGAATACTTGAATAACACTTTAATCATTTATTTTTCGAAATATAACGCATTGCTTGTGGCAATTTCGATTTTTCGCTTAAAAAATGTTTCACAACATTTTCATGTCTGTTTGCACAGTCACCTCAACTCTGCCTCCACCACATAATACGCGCTTAAAGGTTTTGCAAAACTTTCTTTCAACTACAGAAATTAATTTTAATTTATTTTATATTTATTTTTAATTTATATTTTTCTTGTTGCATTTTTTAAGTGCTAACAAATGTTATGTGCTTTCTCCGTCGTGCGGTGCCAATACACTTGCCTAACATTTTCAACTCTTCAGTGTGTACTGCGCAAGTCTATTTACATTATCGATTTTTTAACTCAACTGTCAAATTCACAAACTGCAACTGTCAAATGTCATGGTTTTGCCAGTCACTAATGCGCTTGTCATACGGTAATTTTTTTTTTTTGCTTGTTTTTGTTTACACATTACGACATAGCACAATCAAACATATGTTTTTGTTGTTATCATTATTATTATTTTTTTTTTCGTATTCCTTATCAGTTGTGTTGCTTACGTTGACAGTGACAGTCAAGGCGTTGGGGTTAGTGCAAATGCACTTGAAATTTAGCCTATGTTAATACTATAGCCATATGCCGGCGTCAGATCAACATGATCCGGAATTTACTATAAGAATTTGAATATTCATTTGGAATTTAAAATTTATACCTGTGGTATGCTGCAAACATTCCGTTGAAATTCTTTTAAATTTATCGAATTTTCCTTTCGAATTGCTAAAATGTTGAATGGAAATATTTTTCATTTTTTATTTTAATTCTATGACTATGGTGTTATGATATTTTCTTATTCTTAAAGACGAATTCAGTCAGACCTTCTGTCTAACCGAGGGGCACGACGAGAGGATACGCGTAAAATCCCACTGACCGTTGACTGAAAACCAGTGAAAATCTGGACTGCCCTGAAGCCGAGACCGAAAGTGGAACGTCGCCTCTTGTCTAAACAGATTGTACTAAACAGCTACAGATTTGCTCAACAACTGCTTTAAGTTAATCAATTGATTTCTACTTCTGAACAGTCTCACTGCGGCTTCATCATCTGCTGGTTTGCCAACCGCAAGCGAAAAGCATCTATATTTCGATTCTCGGCGGGGCTTCTCCTCCAATTTGTGGTATGCTTATTGATGTTTTTCCAAGAAAACGGAGAGATCTACAGTGTATACTAAGCGGCCTCCGAGCGGCCAATAGGTTTTTATGAGGAGCTTTTTATTTCATGTAAAAAATATACTTGGAGAGCTTGATATTCCCTGTCGAGGAGCAACTGCAATTAGAAAAATTAAATTTCTATATATGAAATTGGAATGTTGGTTTCTATGGGCAAAAAAAAATGGAATGATTATTTTTCACAGGATGCCCTTAAGCGCAATTCCTCACCAGCTAAATCATTCGCCATAGGCAGGAACGAATGATAATCACTTGATGCGAGATCCGGACTATAAAGCAAATATATAAGAACCACACAACGAAACTCTCAGAACTTCTGGGAAGTCACTTTCGATGTGCGTGATATGGTGTTGTTCTGTTGAAACACAATTTCCCGCCAGACGGTCCATTAGGAGTATGGTCAGTGAATGTTTCCTTGCCAATCGCACCAAACACCCGACAAAACCCTTCTGTGAGTTAATTCTGGCTTGAAGATCATTTGTGCTGACTCACTGCTCTTCGACCACAAACATTTTCTTTTGTCGTTGCTGTAAGGATCCCGTTTTCATCATCAGTAACCACCCCCTTCAGTAATGTGCAGATTTTATTCCGATTGTGCAGTTTTGAATATGGTCAATGAAATTTTTTCTCGTTAATCCCTGTCGCTGTGTGGCTTCTTTGTGCATCCAGTATTTTTCAAATAATCCCGAACTATTTTATTTTTACCAAGTTTAGCTCCTTTGCAATCGAAATATTTTATCGAAATTTTCTACAATTGGCCTTCCAAGCCGTGGAGCACCTTTTATTTCAAATTTACCGGAACGAAATCGACTCAGGACCCCTAGCATCATTCCCATTTTGAGATGCCAGACTTTGAAGATGACAAATTTTAAGATATCGCGTATTTTCTCTTTGCTGGTGTCCATCTTTGACCAGCGCTCAAACACTACTGAGTTAAGTGAGCAACACTTCTCCACCCACTACTGGTTAGTAGCTCAAGAATGATAAGGCATGCCTAAGAGGCGACTGAAATTCAATGGTTCCCGCAATCGTCGGGTTTTTTACTGGTAACTCCTGGGTTTTTATCAGGCCAAGGACTATCACTCCCGCAATTTTCTCCGAAAACATATTCGGGGAATATTTTGCGGTTACATCAACAACAACCAACACTTCTATCGTTATCTTCTTTAGTACCAAATACCAACTTTCCAACGCCATCTTGAGTATTTTTTCTATATTCGTTATATATTTGTATAACATCCAAGAAATTCTTAATACCGGGCATCCACTCGACATCCACTTATACGGAGTTTTCCAAAGTTTTCCACAATAAATTGTTATTTTGGTATTCAAATAAAAATTCCATTTTTGAGATAGGTCTGATGTTTATATGTTTGCAAAGAGGACCAGGACCGGGGCCATATTCTTTTTATAAAATTTTCTTCAACAAATCTCAAAGTGGCTGAACGCTCTAAATAGCTTCACGAATCTACGGATCTCAACTTTTAGGGCTTAAATGAACAAGGGTCTGTTGACGTAGACCTTATCTTTCACGCGGCTTAAAATAAAGAAGTCTCAATTGCGATCATCTCTTCGAGAGATTAAAAAAAAGTCCGGGAACATTTCCCTTAAAAGAACGATGCTTGTGTAGCAGATAGCGTCGTCTTGTCGAACGTAAAGGTAAAAGGTTCATAAATCATCGTTCCATTTACCTTAGTAAGTAAAATCCAATGACCCTGCCGGACCAAAAGTAGCAGCGAACAGTTACACGTTGAGGATGGATAGGCTTTTCAACAATACACATTGAATTTTTCGAGCCCCAGAAGCGACAGTTTTGCTTATTGACGTAGTCATCGAGGTGGAAATGGGTTTCAGCAGCCAAGATGATTTTTCGAAGAAATTCATTTTCATACATTCCACGGACCCAATCAGCAAAGACGCGACGTTGTTGATGATCAGCCTGCTTGAGTTCTTGTGTTTGCTAGACCCAAACCTTCATGCAAAATACTATGCAATGACGTTTGTGGATTGTGAAATTCGAAAGAACGACCAGAAATGAACAAACCTGGGGTTGCTTCAACATTTTGGGCTACAGCAAGAATATTCTCAGTTGTTCTTGAGCGAGGTGCACGTGTTTTATTCTTCACATCACTAACTTGTCCCAACAGCTCCATTTTTTTAACCAATTTCTGTATGGCGTTCCGACAGGTGCTTCACAACGACCGTCTCTGCCAGGTTTTTACTATTTTTGTAGGGAATTACAATAGTGACCACTAATAATAACACCTCTTATTGGAAAACCCTATATTTGTATATAATAATTTCATTTGAAATAAAACCCCGCACATGTATGTATGTAATTTAGAAGCTTTATTTGAGAAATTTTTATTTTTAGAAAGTACAAATTTTACTTTTATTTTTTGAGTAATTTAAAGGTAATTTCGGTATTTAAGTGAGAGCGTTTTGGAGAATATCCCTTAAAACATTGACAATAAAAGAAGAGAAAACTTAAACAATAAAAAAAAATAAATAAATAAATAAATACATAAAAAATAAAGTTGGAAGAACCAAAGAAGTGCTCAATAAATGTAATGAAAATTCGAATTTTGAAATTGATAACTTCAGACACAGCAAACAGAGAGAGTGTCTCCTACCACGCTAATTCGAGCGAATCGCCATGGAGCTTCTATCAAATGTCGTCTCTAGCAAAGGAATTTGCGTATAGGTCTGATGTAGAGCAAACTGCTCACTTTCGCTCTGCTGAGGATTGCTGCAACGCAGACAACTGCCGAACAAACGTAACCAGCGTCGGGAAGCGGACTTGCCGCCGTTAACTCTCCGCTGCTTTTTAGGCACTTTACTCACCGGTTGCTCCTCGGGCGCCAACGAATTTTCAATTGCAGTGCTATTTGGACAACGTTCGATATATATGCCCGACGGCGAAGGAGTTCTCTGTTCACGATGATCGTAATGCAGGGATCGAATTTTCGGCAAATAAGTACCAAATTCATTGAGTTCCATGCTGTAGCGTTTACGATGTGTGGGTTTTGGCGACGAGGACAATTCAATCACTTCGACCTCAATAGCCGAATCCGTGCTGCTCGGTTGGCTTGTGCGCGAGTTTTGTTGTGACTTCTCGCAGCCATTTGCATTGCTGATCTGGGTGCGTGTTTGTGGTATTGTAAGAGAATTGCTGCGCCTGCGCAGTGTGGCTGTAAGGCGAGTAAATATTAATTATTAATAAAGAAATATTTGAGTAATAAAAACACTGCATACCATTATCCCTTGATAAACGCCCTTCCGCATTATTTACTGCCATATACTTTCCGAAATTCAATGACATCGGCTGTATTGCCGCCACACACCTCATGTTGCGTCCATAACCCTCCAGAGTACCATCAGCCGCGCAATGATTGTTGTTTGCATCGGGCGTTTCCGGTGTCGCATAGAATTGCAGTTCCTCTTTTGGCAAAGCAATATGTAGCGGTGTTGGTGATGGCGGCGGTGGTGGCGGTGGTGACTTGCAGCGCTCCAGTTCCGTTTGTGTCGCTGAATCCGATGTTTTCTTCAACAAAACCTGTTGCGTCTGGCGTCCTGCACCCCAATAAGGCATGCCAGTTGTGCTCGACTGACTGTAGCCCATTGAACCGTTAGTCCAACCATTAAACGATTGACGCTCGCTCTGAGTTCTCTTCAACTGATCTTCGGCGGTACTTAAGCGTACACGCAAGAAGTCAACATTTTGTCGTAAGCGTGTAATTTCACTTTGCTTCTCGTCTAGCTTCAATTGTTGGTAATCATTGTAAGATTGCAAACGATCACGTTCGCCCAATAACATGGTATATGTATTGATATCAATGGAACCGCCATTGACGATACCAACGCCACTCTCGTCTGTCTCTCGTCTATGCTCAACGCCATCACAGCTCTCGTCGACAGTAGCTCCACTGCCATTCTGCGTAGACACCGTACCTGAAGTGGCCGCTGTTACATTACTAACCGACAAGTCCGTACTTGGCTCCACCTCTTCCTCTTCAACACCATCAATTACACCCACCAGCGCCCGATTCAGCTTCTCGGCAACAACACTTACATCGCTTTGCGACTGCGTCGCCTTTAACGCCTGTGGATCGTGCACCAGCGCTACGGGCAATGAACGATGTCTTTGGAAACGTGCCATCTTTCGTCGTCGCTCGTCCTCGTTACGTATATTCGCTATATATTGTCCAACTTTGCTTTCGACATGCTTGTAGCGACGCTTCGTATACTCCGAATGTATATCTTGATAAGAGTATGATTTTCGATCACGTTCGAGTAGTTGTGGGCGCGTCTCACCGCTACTGGATATGCCTGTTTGATCACTTTTACTCATACGATCATCAGTCGTTGTGACATCGACAGGCTGCTGCTGCTCCGTGGCGGACTCAGCTGATGAGATTGTTTGATCGGCAGAAGAACTGGAAGTGCTAAGGTTGTGAATTAATGTGATCGCACTTTTGCTACGCTCCGCCAGGCAGAGCTTGTGCTGGTGCTGACGCTCGCGCAGACGATGGGGGAATTGAAATCTTTGGAGTGGCGCCGGTGACAGCACCATGTCGAAGAGCTCGTCATTGGGGAAACTTTCATCTTGAATACTCATTTTCTCGGAATTGATTTTTGAACTTAAAGAACTTTTATTTTTACTTTACAACAACAACAATTTAAATTAAATTAAACGCAATCTATTTGATTTGTCGCAAAACAATTTAAATACAAAACAAATCATCAAATTCAACAACTTTTACCGACGGAGTTGAATTTTTTGTATGAAAAATAAATTTGGAAAACGCGAGAACGGAAAAAAAGAAAACAATTGAAACGCACGAAGGTACAGAAAGATATGCAAACTGCTTGGTTTGTTAAAAAGAGTGAAAAAGAAAAAATATTAAATAAGCTAACGGCATTCGGTACATGGATAAATATTTAGTACATATATATGTATGTAACTATATATGTAAGTGCGTTTATTAGGGGTGTAATTTTGCAATAAGGAAATAATTACTAAATATTTAAAATTTATGAGTAAACTTAGGGCGCATGTGAAGCGGTGCTAAGTGCGCATGCGTCGACTCACTGTATGCAGGGCAGAGCAGGGCTGAGTCTGGAGTTGAGTATTCTACAGTAAACAGACCTCAAGTGCCTCAGCACAAATCGGATCTCCCAAAGCAACTCGAGCTGTTCATCTCCTATTGATGATACCAGCTCAGCTATACAGTCGAAAAAATGTTTCCCGCAGAACTTATATCTGAACAGTGACAGAGCTAGTCTTCAATAGACTCTTCTTCGTCTATTGTTTTGTCCCTAAAGCAGCGTCAAAAATCATTAGAGTGGTTACCTATTGTTCTCCCATTAAGGCTAAAGGCTAACCAATCGAGAAAGCTTGATGTTTTTCGCGTCCATTTTTGACCATAGCAGTCTGGCGTCATTCAACCAACTAGAGTTTTGTTCTTTGGCAAAAGTCAGTTTCGGCATTTACTCGTACTCTGCGCTGGGCAAAGGTAAACCTGCATCAGGTGCAACATTTATTGGGAATATAAGGGTTTCTTTCCTTTGCTACTTTGTCCGCCATGCATATACTACAATGGCATATTACTGCGTCCGGGTACACAGACCACTGCAGTGTTGCATTCAGGCGAGAGTTTTTTCAGATCACTTCTACATTTTATAGCTACTTTTACACTGATAGAGATCCTGATGGCAGCTTGACTATCGAAATTTATAGCAACTGTTGTCCTGCTACCGTAGATTTGAGCAACCACTCGGCGGCTTCCATGATTGTAGAGAGTTCTGCTTGGCATATGCTGCAGTGGCTTGGTACTTTCTTGATTATATTTTTTTGAGAGCATTGGAGAGTAGTTTCCGCAGCCCACTATTCCAACGAGTTGCGATCCGTCCGTAAAGATGGCTATGGCTACCTGATCGAGAGAATTTGTGATTTTCCTTTTCATTTCTGTTTGAGATTCTCGTAGAAAAAAGATTGTCGAAGCACATAATGGAGATGGTGCAGTCCAGCTTCTTTGGCACTTTTCAAGAGACAACACTTTAGCGTGTCCTATACTGTAGTTCTTCCAAGTTAGAGTTGCATTCAATCGAATTGTGTTTCAGCTCGCTTGTAATTTCCTGTATAGGTCCAGAGGAAGGAGGTTGATAAGAGTTAACAGTGCTTTTGGGGGAGTTAATGGGAGTGCTCTTGTTACCAGGATAGCAGCCGTTCGTTGAACTCTCTGTCTTTAGCTCATGACAGTAATTTTCCGCACTGCGTGCCATATCATACGATGACGCCGTAGAGTTTGGCTGTGTAAATCTGGTACACAATATTCGGTCTTAGACCCCATATTTTTCCAATCACCGTCTTGCAAGCCTTTCTTGACCTTTTTGCCGTAATCCGGCTCCAATCGAGCTTGCTATCTAGGATTATCCCGAAAAATTTGACTTCGATAGAGTCACATGGAAGCCCAAACGCGGATACAATTTGTATGATGACAAACAAGTGCCGGAACACACCAGGTTGGTACCCATTCTAATATAATGATGAGTTCAGTTCCCTTTCGGTGGGTTTTAGTCTCTTACACAGCGTGCTTGATAGGACCGTATATGCGAAACTCAGCCGGCTTATCTCATAACAGTTGGCGCAGTCTGTAGGGTCTCCCTTTTGAAGTTTCAGTACAACAAACTTATGTTCCAACCGTCCGACTAGCTTTGCATAGAAGATGATGCTTGTGCTTGGAGACTTGTGTTCCGTCTGTCGAGTCTTTCGATCCGGTGACAGCCAAGTAGCTTGTGTAACTTCATGGATTTTTTTGTATCGAAATCTGATATTACAAATAAACCATAACTCTTGAACTCGATCAGTTTCAGCTCGTTTGGGAGTCTACGCCCTGGAGAAAGTATATATGGTTCTTTTCCGTCGTAGTAGATTTCCCAAGAATCCACCATCTTCCGTCTTTGTTCCGTCCAACGCAGTTCTCGGACGGCGGTGATGTCAGTATTTAGTCTCATAGGGGCATAAGCTACCCAACGGCTTTTTTTCTATTCCGGCACCGGACATTCCAGGAACATAGCCTCAAGTTGTAAACCTCAAAACGTTTGCAGGGATCGTCATCAAAAGGCGAGCATCACATCCGATCCTGTCCACCAGGTTAGTGGCTCAAGAATTTAACAGTGACAGGGCAGAGGGGCAGAGGACACTGAAATAAAATAGTTCCTGTGATAATTGGTATTTATAGTTTCAGCTAAGGTCTGGTAGTCCCGCAACACTTCACATCCTAGATATATTTTGATCTTTCATTGGCGGAAGTTGTTGTTGTTACAGTCCAAGGCCGGATAAAAATCCGGTATAAAGACCCCATTGCCGCGGGAACTATTGAATTTTAGCCACCTCTTACGGCAGGTATGCCTTACCGCGGGTAAGCCCCTAAAGCCCCTAACCCGTAGGTCGTTTCATTGGAGTATATTTTTATGTGGTGGGTCCAAATATAATTAAAAATTACTTGAAGTTATTTTTGTTTTTTTTTTATTTAGTTAATTTGGTTATCATATACGTATAAATTACAGTGAAAAAAAAAGAAATAAAAAATGTGTACAAGTACAACGTTAACAAATTGCACACATTTATAGAAAATGAATTAAGAATTTACAAAATCTTTAAATTTTTTTTTTTTTTGACATACTGCATAGTTTTCAAAAGAATACTGGCCAAATTTAAAATATTATTTGGAATTTTTACAATTCGCTACAGATTGTTTTGTTGTTTCTAAGCCGATATACTATTTTTTAAGCCTTTAGAGTACACACTATTGTATGTATGTACGTATTTACTATCATTTTTATAGATTTTACTATTTCTCGTATGCCAAGACTACTTTATAAAAACGTAAGACAATATATGAATTAAATAGGTATGTGTTTATATATATATGTATAATATCTTTTACATCATAATATTTGTTTAACACATATATATGAATAATATAGGGGGTTGTGGTGGTTATTTTAATTAAGTATTACGTTATTGTAGAGCTCAGCGGAATGCATTCGATATGCAAATTGCAATATGCATTGTGTTATGTCGCTAGCCAGGCAACTGCATCTCATAAGAATTTTTTTGAATATTCATACCATTTTAGCGTCCATACACTTGCAAGTTGTGACACATTTTTGTGTGTTGTTTAGATATTTTAATAAAATCAAATTTCGAAAAAAGCATACTAGAGCGTTTATTGATTCTTCTTATTTGCGCTGCCATAGTTGGGTTGTAAAGCCTAAAAACAAAAAAAAAAATAATAATAATTAAGCAATCGGCTCAAATTATAAAACCATAAAGGAGCACATACATCATATGCTGGTGGCAAGTCGCTTGGCGCAGCATTATTAGAATATTGATTGTATGTCGTATTTTGAGCACTAGCCATGGCCTCGGCTTCCTTTGAATCTATAATAGAATAATATATAATAAAAAAAAAATTAAAACATTTTTAGAATGAAAATATTATATAAATTATAGTACTAATAACGAAAATCAATATGCAAAAAGTAGTAACAAAATGGAATTTTCGAAAATGCTTACTTTTATAAAAGAACTTGAATTTTTTGTTGCAATCTACATATTTTTACTTGCCCCATTGGCTAACACACACACACACAACACGCACAGTGTAGATATTTATGGCAATATAATTGGTATTGGTATAAAAGCAAAATTTGCACAAGTTTGTGGTGAAGTATAATATGGATAGTAATAGTATGTAGTGCTACCTGCAGATAGTAGAAATGAAAATATTTAAGTAAAAAACACGCACAATGCACAAATATTTCAACTTGTAAGCGTGTATGTGTGTAACTTCTCGACTTTTGTGTTGCTTTGTTATTTTGTTTTTGTGTTTAACACCATAACTCATAAAACTCAGCCAAAGCTAATAATTAGTAAAAAGAACTCATTACATCTAAACAAAAAAAAGTAAACAGTACCTGAGTTAGGGATTTGATTTTTTGTGACGTACATACATATATATGTATATGCTTTTTTTCGACGGTGTAATATTCACTGAATTTTATTTATTATTTTTGCTGTTGCATACTTGTGGAGCACACTTTAAAACACTGCAGGCGAAATATTTGAAAAAAAAAAAATATTTCAAAAAATAAATATAAATAATTGCAAGCACAAGGAACAACACGTGTTAATAAAGATTTAGGCTCGATTAAAATGTGTGCTATATGTATGTAACGGGGTTAGGTTTGGACTAGTAGTTAGTTTATTTCATATTTGTAGCCAATTATTTGTTACTTTGTTAACTTTTTTAATTTTCTATTTTATTTTTTAACTAAATTTTATTATTAAATGCATATTAATTTATAAAAAAAAAAAATTATACACTTTTAAAATATGAACTTACTTGCTGGTGGCATGCTGAAACCCATTGCGCCAGCTGCAGCACCACCTGGTGCGCCGCCAGGAGGTGGATAATGGCCTGGTTGGTAGCCAGGATTGTAACCTGGATTATAAGATGGATTGTAGCCACCGGGTGCACCCGGTTGATAAGCGCCTGGCTGCCCATAACCACCGGCTGCATACGGTGGTGGCTGATTTCCAGGTGACGGTTGCTGTTGTGCATCCGCAGTTGGTGGTGCAGAAAAACCATTCCAGGCAGGTGCATCATTGCTACCACCTTGCGGTTGTTGAGGATTATAACCGGGTTGCGGATTATAAGCTTGTTGCGGATTATAACCGGGTTGTGGATTATAACCGGATTGCGGGTTATAACCGGGCTGTGGATTATAACCACCATACGGTTGTTGTGGTGCATATCCGGGTTGCGGATATTGTTGTGGTGCATAAGTTGGTGCTAATTGTGTTAAAATAGCCGTAAAGTTATGGAAAAGCAATAAGCAAATAAAAAGTAAAATTAATTCATTTCGTTATGTTAATTTCAATTTAACTGTTTTATGAATAATTGATGAATAATTTATAGTGCAATACCCATATTACCAAATACATGTACTTATTTAAAAGCGCAACAACAATTAATATAACAGAAGCCGAGAAGTTACAGACATATCTAATATATGCGTTTGAAAATATACGCATATATAGAGCCACGCATTTTCATTTTTGTTTTTATACTTACGTCCACCAATGCCTGGATATGGTGGTGGATTATCGCTCACGAACACCGTGCCATTTGCTGGGCCGCTAAACGCTTCATGTGTTGGCAACCAACCATAGTAACCTGGTGGTGGTTGGTAAGCTGGTGGTGGTGCTTCATGCCAAGCACCTGCCGGTGTATACGGTGGTGGATCATCATTGGGTGCGCCACCACGATGATAATTACTTTGTGCTGTACTAGCAGCACGTAGCAATGCCTGACCATATTCGATAGCTCCACCAGATTTAAAGTGTAATTTGAATTTTACCTCACCAATGAAATTGCCATTCGGTTGTGCACGCACTTTGCCCTTGATGTAGTTAGCACCAAAAACTGGCTGCTCCAATTCAACCTGAAATATATGCGCACAATTAATTTTATTACTGTCACGTTTACATACTCTGTAAATATATTACATCTGATAGCGCAACAAATGGTGCACTAAAGGATTGCAATTGATCAGCCGGCTTTTTGTTGTTAAAAATCAGGCGATGCGATGTCAGGTAAATACGTCCTTGCTTTGAGCCTTTAAACACAGGATTGTCCTGTCCCGAGAAATCCATAGTAACGCCATCACTGTGCAGCAGTATACTGGGGTAGTAACAAAAGTGTAATTTAGTTCTATGCAACTAGTAAATATAATCTAAATTATAATCATAAAACAATTTTTCCACGTCACTCTTTATCATTGTGCAGTATGTGGCTTATAGCTTGGGAACATTTTAAGCCAATCAGCTTATAAATGGAGTTTACTTCCAGAAATCTTTTTACACATATAATTATCACAATGATGTCATTAATTCCTTAAATATTTGTTTTAATCACAAGTTGGCGAAAACAAATTTTACGGTCTTCAAAATTATACTTACTACTCTCCAGCGTGAATGAGAACACCATTATTGGCGTGAGCTGTATTAACAGACATCTTTAATGATATCTAAATTATCCTCTAAATTCTGCTCTAATTTTATTAGAAATTTTCACTTTAACTCAGGAAACGCAATTCGCAAATTTTCTCGAACGTCAATAAAACCAATTGTAGATGATTCACCTTCCTTTGTTTTGATGTGCAATTGCCGTTTTTCCAAGAGATGGCGCGCTTAATGATCATATGTTTCTAAAGATGACACTGCATAGAACACTTGAAGTTGTAAGATTTTCTAATTCTTCACCTTCATTATTTAACATCAAGTCTTTTTTTGGCTATAAAAATCTAACCGTTATATTAGCTGGAGGATGGTTACACCTATTTTATAAACACAATCAACAAAATCCATGTCAACAGCGATGTGTAGAACCGGCTGTCTTGAGTCTGACACAGCTTAGGTCCGGATATTGTAGTAGGTTAAACTCCTTCCCATCCAGACTCGACACCGACATAGCCAACGCATACCCAGCATGTGCAAAGCCTCCGCACGAAACTAACCCACTCTTCACATGCCCCTTAAGCCGACATATCCAATCCTCCTCCCATTGAAACAGGACATTTCCTGGGTCTACCGTTAGATGGCCTCGGCGGCTTAGATTGATTTTATACTTGCCCTTAAACAGGGTTAACGTAGCGCTCCCACTACAATAACAACAACAGTAACGGTATTGCGAGCCAATTCAATTTGGTTTAATAATTGATTTTTTTACTATAATAATAGAATCGATAAAAATGTTCTCTTTGACGATTTGCTAGCTACAGGACAGCAAAATTGGCTCAATAAAATGAAAGAACCAGATGGCAATATTGTGCCAATAGAATGTGAAATGTGATAGGTTTCACCAAAACGAATGACCCAAAAGTTCTAACAAATTCTCATTTATGTTATCAATAAATTTTCGTTATAAAATTAGTGCTCTGTCCCCGCTGAAGCGATATTTGTCCGAGCTCCTTCTCCAATTTTTTGGTTTTGCGTAATTTCCTAGTACTCGAACCAAGGTCTTCCGAATGGCAGTACGCAGTGTTAACCACCCGGATATGGCGGTCGATATATAATGTGTTTAACCCAAGGGAAATAAAGCTCACCGAATGTTTGGCAATATCGTGATGAGGAGTAAACGCGAAGCGCTGTTTGTTGCTATGCCTTCAGTAAACTGATTTTTTTTCATTTGTTTTTCTTTGCTTATGTGGCAGCATTGTAAATAAAAATTTTCATGCAAAGGAAAGAAAATGGAAAAAGCAAGTGGCAGCAGACTTTAATTATAAAATTAAATTTACCATGAAAATAGTGTAGTTAAATATTGAAAAAGTGTTTTAAAAAGTCTTTCGTTCAAGTGCAAAAGTTGAAAGGACTTGGATTGTTCCAGCTTAGGGAATATGCGTAAGTAAATTCTGTCTACGTAACCTCGCAAAAAGACCTAAATCAGTTAAAATTGAGCTTTGCTTTTGAAACAAACCACAGATACTGACTTTTCAATAATTTTTCTCCTGTTTTTTAGGTCTGTGTGGGATTTGTAGATTTAATTATCATTTTTCAATGTGCAGTTGAAATTTTTTCCAACTGCATTTGCATATTCCTGTATACATAGCTACTTTTTTATATTTTCTTTTCGGTTTTCGTTCTATTTCATCCCCTTCATAATTTTGGTTTTCTTGTTTTTTTATCCGCTCTTCGCTATTTCACGTCGTTTCTTGTGATTATATTCGTAAACAATAAATTTTATGAAATCTTTTACAGTGCCTCTTCTTGGTGCTATTTCCGGTGGAAGCAATATGAATAGTAATCAGAATTTCATCAATCAACTTGCGGCTGCAATTACCTCAGCTGTTGGTGCAGCAAGTGCGGCTAATACTACGAATCGAAATAATAATGTGCGCGAACGTACACCGGAACCACCACCGGCACCTAGCTTTCGCATGAATTCGCCAAAAAGAGTAAAACCCAATCGTGGCACTGCGCCTATGGATATTGAAAGTGAAACGGAGATTGAGCCTCTAACACATATGACGGCAAACAATACTGTGCATTCAACTACAGACTCGAATATGCAATTAGGAATGCAAAACACTCAAATGTTTATGAATGGTGGTTTTATGCCACCAACGGCCGCCGCAGCAACGGGCAATGCTTACATGTTCTATCGAACCAACGCAGCAGCAGGGAATGTGGCCTCGACAACCGCAACGCCAGCAGCTGCCAATCAAATGTTTATGGATCCAACAGCAATGTTGGCAGCAATGCAGCAATTGCAACAAAATTATGCTGCTGGTTTTGCTTCTACAATGTCAAACACCGAACTTTCTCTCAATGGGCAGTCAGCTGCAACAACGACCGCTGGTAGGATCTTTACTTGTTTGATAAATTTTTTTTATATTAAATAAATTTATTTTCTTCTCTACATAGTTGCTGGCATGAAAGAAGTTATCAAAACACAAAATTGTACACTATTTCCGCCCAATCCAAATGTGCCACCGCCCACTACACGTGAACGTCCCCCTGGTTGTCGCACTGTTTTTGTAGGCGGCCTGCCTGAAAACAGCTCCGAGGATCTTATACGTGAAGTATTTGAATCCTGTGGTGAAATCACCACATTGCGGTCATCAAAGAAAAACTTCTGTCATATACGTTATCGTCATGAAGCTGCCGTTGAACGTGCCATCTATCTCTCTGGCTATCGTATGCGTGTGACTAATAGTAGTGAACCAGCAAATTTCGGACGTTTGCATGTTGATTATGCACAAGCCCGAGATGATCTATACGATTATGAATGTAAGCAAAGACAACTGCAACGCGAGCAACGTCACAAAGAACGTGTATCGACTGATCGAATGCGTTCGACATCGCCGCCACCCATACCGCATTATAATGAACATGAAGCGTCACTGGTAGCCGAACATCTGCGTACAAGTGATACGTTTGTAAAGGCCGTGCAGACAATTGCAGTTTGGTTGGAGCGTGGCGATTGTACGAAACGCAATGCTAATATGTTTTATTCGATGATACAAAGTACACACGCACAAGTGCGTCGCTTGCATACCGATAAACAGCTGTTGGAAGATGATTTGCGGAAAGCGCGTGAAAGTTATCGAAGGCAAATGTTGATAATGTCCACACAATGTAAGTATTTAAAGAATTGAAAATTTTGTATTAAAAAACCAAATTAGTTGCGAGAGAAGTTTAGCTTTGGAGTGCCTAGTAGTAGATTTTTTTTCTGTTCTAAGCACTGAACCTGTTTAGGCAGATAGATGAACGCAGTTTTGCAAAGTCGATTCAAGTTTCAATTAAATTCGTAACTTAAAATTGTTGTTGTTCTATGGAAATTAAAATTTTTATATTTGTGAAACTGCATCCGTGTAGCAACATAGCTTTTAGTACTAACATTAAAATTGCTTTTGTCAAACAATAATAGGCATAAAAGGAGTTCCAAATACTGTACAAATTACTATAATACGCAAATTAAATTAAATTTTCGAACATTTTAAAATTAAAAAGAACACCCAAAGCAGCATAAGTACAGCCAAAATCACTTGAAGTGTAACAATACTTATAACCCAATAGTATTCTTATTTTAAACAAAACTTTCCCGAAAATTAATGAATTACAAAAATGCGTTGAAGCAGTTTTGTGCTGCTCATGAAATAAATTTATGCTCAAAACTGTTTTAAATTTAAATATCGCGTACATCAAAGTTTCGAAATTTCAGTTTAGCGCGTTTTTTGGAGTATGAAAAATGTTATACAATGAAATTTAAATGATTTTGGCTTACCTTACATGAGTACAAATCGTTAATATATCCATAATTTAACTAAAGCGCCAAAACTTAAAGGTAACTTCAATTTCGGAATACTTAAATAAAGGTTTGTAAACATACTAGTTGCAGGTAAATTAAATATACAAATTTAAAATAAGTTCGCAAGGAAAGGCAGTGCAATTAATTAAAAAAAAGCTCCAACTGCTGGAGTTCAGTGGTAAATAGCTGTGTATTTTTGGAAAAACTTAATATTAAAAACTTTATGTGCGTCTGTATAGCTTACTACATACTACATATACACAATTTTTTAGTTATTTTTTTTTTCACCATTACACATTTGCAATTTTTCAAAAAAAAAACACCAAAAATATTTACCAAAATCGCGAATTTCATATGAGCAATTTTCCATGAAATTGCATTCATTCTCATAAACATACATACATACATACATACCTATGTACATGTATAGAATGTCGAAAGTATATAGTAAGCGTACAAAAAGAACAACAAAAACAAAAAAGTAAAAAAGAAAAAAAATCCAAAACAATCAACCAACCCTCTCCCCTCTTTATTATTGTTATTATTATAATTGCATATTCAGTCACTCAGATTGAAAAAGTGTTCAGTGCAGCAAGTCACAAGAAGGTTTGGGACCATTTCACCAAAGCTCAAAGAAAGAACATCGATCAGTGGAAGAAGCTGGCATTGGTACGTACAAAAAGCAAAAGAAACAAAGCAAAACTAAAAAAAAAGAAACAAAAAAAAAAAAACACAAATATTTACTATATTTATTTAATATGCATTATACATTATTCTGTGTTTGTTTTTGTGGCGTTATTTACTGCACGTGCGTACATACATACAAACTTATTTGTAGAAAATTATTTGCTTAATTGTTTTATCGTTTTGGGTAATCATATGTATAACATTGCTATATATACATATTTATATTACATACATATGTATATACATTAGTGCATGCTGATCGATGGATTCGAAATCTCAAATTATTATATGTAAATTCATTTCTTAGATTATGTACATATATGTAATTTAAAAAAAAAAAACTAATTTTAACCTAATTTATCTGTACTAAAAACTTAATTATTGTTCATCCATAGCACATCCCAAACACTCTGCTTCACCTCACAAATTTTGCTTGTAGAAATTATTAATATACTAAAAAAAATTATTTAATTAAATTATTCATCAAATTGTTTATTAACATTAATTCAAAAACTTTGGAAGAGTTTTTTTCATTGGCTGAGTGATCGAAATCAGTAAATATGTGTTTTATAATAAAGAGTGATTTTTAAGAGGTATATTAAAGTTTTTCAAAAAAAAAAAAACGCGTAAATTCAGAAAAATGCATTAAGTCTATATTTGAAAAAATAGTACGGTCCATATAATTGTTTGAAGATTAATTCATGCAAATGTTGACCGTGACTGCGCCTCAAATGGTCCATCCGCTTAGTCCAATTTTGACATACTCTTTCCAACATTTCGGCCGGTATTTCACGAATAAATGCTTCAATGTTGTCCTCCAATGCGTCATTTGAAGCGGGCTTGTCTGTATAGATAATAGATTTAACATAGCCCCACACAAATAGTCCAAAGGCGTTATTTCCCAGGTTTGGACTAGAGTCAAAGTAATTTTTATCCCAAAAGGAGGAAGAGCCAATTAGAATTAGACACCCAGCCTAGTCTTATCTCTCTCCTCTTAAAAAAATCTTTCAAAGGCTGCTTGATAGTTATATACCACAAAATCTACCCCCCTCGAGCAAGCAAAATGCTAACTCTAAGGGCAAACCTCTCGAAAAAAAATTCTTCTGGAATTCGTCTCCAACAGCCCATAGAGTCTCTCCTAAGAAACATGATAATCGTCGCCAGAGATTTACAGCGCCAGGCACACAACCAGAAGCACACCACAGAGAGAAGTCTAACAGCAAACACGCTTATTAAAAACTGAACAGCACAGGTTGTGATGTGCTGACGACTTTGCTCTAACAGCAGCTTGCAAACAACTATAAACTTTAAGCGATCTACTCCAGATGCTCTTTACATATTTGGGAAGTGGTGTAAAAACGGTGATAGCATAAAGCTGGGGTCTATGACCGAATATCGCGTACTGAATTTATACACATCGTCAGTTAGACCAATCCTTTTGTATTGTGGCCGGCACTCGAGGGAAAATTACTTTTAGAAGCAAATTAGAGAGAGTTCAACGGTCGACAGTTATCCTAGTAACAAGAGCATTGTCATTAACTCCCTTGCTAACTCTTCTCAACTTCCTCTCTCTGGACGTGTACGGCAAATTACAAATCCAAACAGAAATGAATGGAAAAACACAGACGCCTTCGATTAAACTCGATAAAAAATTGGGCTGTGGAATCCACTCCCCGAAACTCTTAATAAATATGAGCATGAGACTACCAGACCACTGCTGCGTCTGGCAAGTAGAACTCTCTGCTGTCGTGGAAGCCGCGGAGCCGAATCAGTTACGATATATTCTGACAGAAATCTGAGCGAATTCTCGATTAGCTGCAATAATACGTGGCCAGGGTACCCGGACATAGTGACATCCCAGACAATTGCGTGGCGAACGAACCAGTGAGAGAAGGAACCCAATAAAATTTGCACACGATACAGGGTTCCCTTTGTACACGGCAAAATATATGCTAAAGTTGGCTTTTTTTTTAAGAAGCAAATTCTAGTTGGCTGTATGAGATCACAAGGTTTAGCCTGACAGACAGCTATGGTCAAAATTGAACGAAAAAAAAAATCAAATTATCTTACCTTTCTAGACCGATTCACTATTAGCATAATTAGAGGTGTAATAACAGTTCACTGTTTGGTGGGGCTTCACGAGAAAAGAATGGGCAACCACTGTAATTGTGCAATAGGCGAGGAAGAGGCTATTCAACATTAGCTCTGTCGCTGTCCAGATAGAAGTTCCACGGGAAACATTTCTTCGACCGTCTAGCTGAGCTACCTTCAGTGAGAGTTGGTAATCCCGTTTCTTTTATAAGGGACAGGAAGCGATTGGAACATTCGAGAAGGTGAAGTTAGGAGCCTCACAGTGATCTCACAACGAGCATTTTGGCCTGGATGCGTTGCTCATTGACCTACAGTCGTTGTACGTCAAAACGTTCTGCCTTTTTTTCAACAAAAAAAAATGTCAAACTTTACTATAAAGTTGTCGGTTGCCAGATTGAATTATAAAAGGCAACATTCGTATGTGAGGATATTTTAGAAATTTAAGTCTTAGAATCGTTTTTTCAAGTGCCTGTTAAAATCCGTTTTTGTTTTTTCAACTCCTCCTTGAGAGTGGCTGTTAAATTTAACAGGCGGTCAAAGCGTTGGTTAACACAATTCATTTTTTCGACAGCGACATCTGTTCCTTTGGCAAACAAAAAACAGCTGATTTACAAATTTACTTATTTTCTTTATTATAATGGAAAATAGACGGGTATTTTATATTCATGAGCTTGAGGAAAGGTTTGAAGATGCGCCAAATCGCGAAGGGAAATTTAAGGGAATTTACTTTATTTTCGTTCGGACAGCTGATTTACGTTCCTTTCTTCCCCTTCGCAGCAGTGCCACCTTTTATCTAATTTTAAATAAACATTTAACAGGAAGTCAAGGGAATGACAACGAATTTTTAATATCGTTAAGTTTAACTGCCGCTTTCCTGTTCCTCATATTAACAGGCATTCGAAAAAATGGCCCTTAATTTATTATTTCCTCAGCACCGTATAAATTAATTTACGTAGTTAGCATGGCTTGGTATCCTTTGTTTGTATGTTTCGAACTAGCACAGTTTATTGTCAAAAGTTGCATCAATTGCATTAACATTTCTATTGTATTTTATATACTAAATTTATAAAAAATTCATCAGTGTCAGTTACACTTGTATGTATTATACAATGGTTCTCTCTATCAATTAATTCATTATCATTATAAATGAACTTTGAATTCGTCATTTGGTCTCGCTAAAAACAAACATTCATATTATCATACAATATTATTTATTACGATACATATTAAAAAAAAATCAAACATGTTGAAAATATAAACCAATTTAAAAAATGAAATCGTATAAAAATACATTTTTTTTAAACGAATATCATTTTCAAAAGTAGAAGACTCGAGGTAAGTACAATTAAACCAAACAGAAAATGGTCGTCTAAAGATGCTTTCAAATTTATATACAAAATGAAAAATTACTCTTGGGAATGTAGGATTTTCTCAGATTGAATTTCATTTCAAGAAAAAGAAACCAAAAAAAAAAAAACAAAAAAAAGAACTTGAGTCATAACTTCTTCAACCTTGTTACTCATTACTTAGTAAGCTGTATTAAACATTTGTAATCGAAGTGACGTTGAATTAATGCTAAGCTATAAATAATGCAGGAATTGCGCTGTGTTCAAATTGAGGATGATGAAATGGAAATGTCAGACGACGATCGTAACTATCAGGGTGGCAGCGCCAAGCGTACGCGTTACGATGCCGACAGTTTGAAGGTAAGTTTGTAGCACTGAAATATAATTTCTTAACAATTTTCGTTAGAATTTTATATACGCATGTACATACATACACGGTGTGTCCGAAAAATAACCGAACTTTATATTTAAATCATACAACATACAGCGCCATTAAAAAGATGCATTCATCCTCTTTCAAACGCATCTAACATCACGTAAGTCGGAAGACAGATGTAAAAGTGACAGTCATTTCAATAAAACCAAAAGTGTGCTAATGGTTCAAAAATAAAATGGAACAAAGAGCAAATATAAAATTTTGTGTCAAACTTGAAAAAAAATTAATGAAAAAAGTTTATTGTGATGATTGTATGAGTCGTACGCAAGTTTATACGTGGTTTACACGATTTAAAAATGGTCGTGAGGATTTAAATGACGATCCTAAAGTAGGACGTCCAGAAACTAGTAATCGTGCTGAACTGGTGGAAAAAGTCCATGAAATCATTGGTATCAATGCAAATTTTACTACGAGAATGTTGGCTGAGGAATTGAATACGAGTAAAAACACTATTTGGAGAGTTTTAACTGAAGATTTGGGGGAAAGAATGTTCCAAATGAATTAAATGACGACCAAAAAATCGCTCGAATTTTTAATAAAAAAAAAGGTATTTCCCTCATCGACCATCCTCCGTATTCGCCTGATCTATCACCATGTGACTATTTTTTATTTCCAAAACTGAAAACCAAGATGAAGGAAGCATTTTATGCTGAAATCCCAGCCATTCAAGCAGCCGTAACCGACGTACTGAAGAAGATTTCTATAAATGACATAAAAAAATCTATGCATGCGCTGGTTGATCGTTCCAAACAATGTGTTGAGTCAAATAGAACCTATTTTGAATAAATAAATTTTATATCCAAAAAGTTCGGTTATTTTTGGGACACACCGTGTACATACAATACAATATTGATGCATTATTTATTGGTAAGTGAAGAGTGACAACAGTAATTCGCCTTAATCCAGCCGGGTTGGACACATGAAATGGTATCATCAGCTGTGTGTATGGAAAAAAAATAGACTCAAAGCAGTTTAACTAATTCTAAAATTAATACTTTGTTATAGTAAAATGATTTGAAAATTCTACCGAAATCAACAGAAGGGAAGACCTAATATCAAAGGCAATGTTTGACATTATGTAGCCACATCTGGTCAAAATCTTGCACCGTTCATAGTTCTAATTTTTTCTCAAAAATATCTTGTAGAGTTTCTTCGTATTTTGTTTCGGCCTACCTTCATCTACAATGGCGGCTTGATCCTTGTTCAAAGAAACACGTGTTGGGGAAAGCGATCATGCGGTGGTTCCTAAATAGAAGAATCTGTCTACAACTCCAAAGAGATGATTGTCAATAGTTGCGTAGATCCAAAAAGCGAGAGCGTTGGCTTGTTTTTAAAGAGACATAATTTATCGGTGACAATAGTCGAGTAGTTAGGGTATCACCTTACGGGTTCGGGTGTCATCCAAAATTGTAGAGATCTGATAAAAATCCCTTAGTCGTTCAGGAGCAGCATAGAATGAACTGTAGGTCTCCACAAAGAAAGGCAAAAGGAGTTCGGCTGAATATCGCTGCAGTGTTTAAAAAGCTCCAATTATATATATATATATATATATATATAAATATATATATATATAATATATATAGTGTATTTTCTTGTGCTAGAATCTAGTGCTACAAACAACCATATTTCGGTCGCCGGTGAAGTCGATCAGCCTCAACTAATTTGGGGATGTTTCATCGTAAAGGCTGAATTTTCCGACCGCTGTGCCTAAGATACCTTCTTGGCCCACCGCCAAGGCGTTGAAGTCGCCAAGCACAATTTTGACATCGTGGCGGGGACAGCGCTCGTAAGTATGCTCTAGGCGCTCTTAGGAGCCATTCTTGGTCATATCGTCCTTCTCTTCCATCGGGGCGTGAGCGCAAAACAACAATGTGTTAAAGGACTTCGCTTTGATGCGGATTGTGGCGATACATTCATCCAACGGAGTGAATGCCAGTACTCAGCGTATCAGAATCCGACACCAAATGTGCGCTCGTTTATATCGCCACCGTATTAAATGTCACAAGAACCTACTCGTTTTCGTCCTTGTCCCGTCCATTGGATTTCTTGGACGGCGGTGATGTCAGCCTTTAATTTTATGAGGACATCAACCAGCTGGGCAGCGGTACCTTCCCAATTAAGGGACCGGATGCCCTCAACTCGTGATCCTTAAAAAAATTGCGGGTGTCGTCACCAGAAGGGGGATCTCTCATCCGAGGCATAATATAATTTTTCATTGGAGTTTATTTTCCGTGTGGTGGGTGCCAAGCCCTATGTACGACCGCATTGGATTCGCCTTCTCACTTTAGCTCTCCTCCAAACAAATGTTTGTTGGCTACCCAGAGGATATTTGGTCTAAGACCGGAAGTCGTGAGCTGCTCGAACCATATGCAAAAAAAATCGTTTCTGGTCACTTCCAGGGGAGTGGCAGTCAAAAACTTTCCTCACTTTCGTGAACTTCTACAGATGGCCCCTTCATTAGCAAACTTTAATCTTTCACACAGTACGCTGGACATGGTCTTATATGTAGTATTGATCAGACCTATCTCACTATTATAGGTTTTAAATTTCGAATTCTCCGAAACTAAATAGTCCCAATTCGATATTAGGGTGCGCGAGGCTTACATTTTTTCATCCATGCTGTGTATTTAGTAGGATCAACTGGAGTTGGTGTACTATGAGTTGCCTTCTACCGAACGCAGCTGATGAGATTGAGCCGAGCTCTGAAGAGAAAAACTCCCTAAATATTACTAAAAACAAGTTAAAATTGATCTGCTCATGATGATGGTCATCCACTTGTAGCGCCTCCAAGTTGAAAACAATTAAAAAATACTAGATTGGGAATCCCACCCACCGGTTTTACCAGACATTACGCCGTCCACCTATCATCTATTCCGATCAATGGTGCATGCTCTAGAGCTCGGAGCAGCTGTTCTGTTGAATCTTAGATATCCTCAATAGACGAGACATTCCTCAGACGTGAAATGCGTACGCTGCCTGAAATAAGGGAAAAAGTAGATGGAAAACACTTCGATTAAATGTATACTATCATTCTACTATATTTTTACTCCTAATAAATTAAAAGAAAAGTTTGAACTGGAAGGATACTGGTATTGGGTACCTGAAGTCTTACCGCTTTCGCTCCAAACATGTCTATCGCATATAAACGGTAAAAATAAGTCCTCAATCAGATGATTTCAATGTAAAAAAAAACATTTATTATTGGAAGTTTCCTCACTTGGTTTTCTTAGTTTTAAGGGAAGATGTGGTTTTGCTTATCAGTTCCTTCAAATTTTGGTTTGAAATAGTCATGTTTGACAAATTTTCTTTAGGTCCGGTGTACGGGTTTCTTCCTCTATTCTTAGTTCTTGATCTCTTTTTAAATAGAAGATTTAAAAAAATGCTTTAAAATTTATTTCATTCCCCCCCCACCCCAGGAGGAAAACGACTCTCTTCGCTGCCAATTGGATGCTTACCGTAGCGAAATGTCGCACGTGCGCACCGACATCAACTACGATAACGATTATCGTGAGAAACAGATTAAAGTGCTGCAAGAAACGATTCGTAATATGCAAACACAATTGTTGCAAATGAAATCGCGCGAGCAGAAAGACATTAAAACGATTGAGCAGTTGCAGCGCAAGCTGAAAGAAGCCGGCGTCAAGCAATTATTACTAAAAACTAAAATTAAAGAAACACTCAAGCGAAGAGATCGCGAAACAGCGTCAATTAACTCTGAAAACAGTGAAATTTTAGTTGATGAAGCAGACGATGATGACGAGAACGAAGATGATGATGATGTTAAGGAGGTGCATGTGAATAACGGGTCAGAAAATAATAATACTGTGGATGGTAAACATAAAGAGAGCAATCATAGAGAATCATCTTCGGGTGAACCTAAAACGAGTGAAATTATCGATATCGATGGCTACAAAAGTGATGACGAAGTGAATATCATTGAAGATCAGAATGATGTGGTGGAAATAAATGAAACCGATGATGATGAGAAGAGCGTTAACCAAGACAGTAATGACGATGAACAGCTTTTAGATGAAGCGGAGAAAGATGAGCCGAATGGAAAAGAAGCAAAATCTGCGACAGACGAAGTGTCATGTGGAAATTTAGAGATGGAAGACACCGAGAAACCCGAAGATTTTTCGTGTAGCGAAAAAGTGGAAACTAAAATGGCGGAGGATGACAATGACGTTGAGGTAAGGAAGATTTTTCAATTTAACAATACTTATTTGAGAGAAAATAGAATGCAATGATGAAAATATTTTGACAAAAAAAATGTTAAGAAAATTAAAAAAAAAAAACAATAGAATAGAATAGAAGAAGAAAATATTTTAACGAAAAGAAATGTTAAAAAAACGTTAAAAAGAAATATAAAAAATATATTTAGAAAAAAAAGATATTTTGACAAATAAAATTTAAAAGAAAAAACATTAAAAAGATATATTAGAGAAATATTTTGAAAAAAAAAAAAATATATAAAAATATTATGAACAAAAAGATAAGAAAAACATTATGACAAAAAATTTTAAATAATATTTTGACAAGAAAATATTAAAAAATATATTGACAAAAAAATAATATTTTGACAAAAAATATTAAAAAAATATTTTGACAAAAAAAGGTTAAACAAATATTTTAACCAAAAAATATTAAAAAATATTTTGACAAAAAAATATTAAAAAAATATTATGACTAAAAATGTTAAAAAAATATATTCAAAATTGAAAAAAATTTACAAAAAAATTTATTAAAAATATTTTGAAAAAAAGATAAAAAAATATTTTGATAAAAAACGTTTAAAAAAATTTTTAACAAAAAATATTAAAAAACATTTTGACAAAAAATGTTAAAAAATATTTTGACAAAAAATGTTAAAAAAAAAATTTGAAATAAAATGTTAAACAAAATTTAAAAGAAAATATTAAAAAAAAAATTTTGCAAAAAAAATGTTTATTTTTATTTTTTGGCAAAAAATTAAAAAAAAAAAAATTGAAAAAAAATGATTATAAATATATATGAAAAAAATATTCAAAAATGTTAAAAAAATATTTTGAAAAAAAATATTAAAAAAAAAAATTATAAAAAAAAATTCAAAAAAATATTTTGGCAAAAAAAAAATTAAAAAAAGGTATTTTGGCAAAAAAAAAATATTTTGAAAAAAAAATTATTAAACATACATACATATATTTTGATAAAAATTATCAATAAAATATTTTGGCAAAAAAAATTTAAAAAAAAATATGTTTTGTTAAAAAAATATAAAAACATAATTTCGTATAACAAAAAAAACTAAAAATAATAAGATTATTTTTGACCTTTTATAATTTTGAAGATTTTGATCACACAAAATTATTAACTCTCAGAAATATTTTGAAATTCAAAAATAATTCTACTTTTTCTATTTTTGTATATATCTCTGTTTGATATTAAATTTTTTTGATTATTTGTTATAAACCCTCGAATCTCGTTAATTCGAAATCGAGTGTTCAAAAATAGTAAAAATAGTTGGAAACTGATTTTAAGAGAAAAAAAATAAATCTTCGAATTATTGAGAGTTTCATAATCAATTATTATTTAATAATTATATATGTACATTGCTGCCTCTCAGCCTGATTTTTAAACGAAAAAGACTGCGGTGCTATTTGCAGAACATGCTCGAGAAGACAGTGGACGGACTTCTGGAAGTCAGAAGGCTGATAGTGTTGCTCTCGCTCAGTTACCTCGTGAGAATTGTACTAGAAGCAAGGCGGTACTCGCCGAGTTATCTCGGGTTATCTCTGTAAACAGCAGGATGTCTAGCATAGATGAAGTCGCGGAAAAGTTATCGTCCACAAAAGCGCATCGAAGAAATGAGTTTGCAGCGCTAACCATTGAAAAAGTAACGAGCGCGAGCGAAACAGAAGCGCACGTCGGCACAGCGGAGACAGAAGTAGTAGGTGGGACTCACCGAGCAACAGAAGAACTTCCACGGAGCGATTTAGTATCAGTGTTGAGGGCCTGAACCCTTTCGACCACTTTTTGCAGCAATTGTGGCCAAACGTCAGCAACAAAGCGCTTATCTACTTCAGATAACCCTGACAAAAAATAATCCCTTGGTGGTAGATCTAATAGGCTTACGAAAAATCATTAAGTATTGCTATGCGTTCCCCATTGACTGTAACATTGTGGTTGGCATAATTTTTGACGAAATATGTACCAGTGATTGTCTAATGACCTTGTTGTTGTTGTTGTTAAGTATGTCGGGATCGAGTCTAGACAGGAAAGAGTTTATCCTGCTGCAATATCCAGACTTATGTTGCGCCGGTATTACTCTCGAGGCAGCTCGGACTCTTCATCTGCCATGGGTGGTAGTTTGACTCCGAGGACGCAATTCACAGGGAGAGATTCTTGACTGACTCGTAGTGAATGGCGTTTAGTGCTTGTATGTACGCCGTCCTGTCCATCGGTTGTTGCACATGTTGCTGAATTGTGCTCTTCAAGTCTAGTACAGGCTTTCTGATGTACCTGGGTGGAGGTTCAGTTCTCTACGGCATCCTAGCAGAAATTGCTTGCACAGCAAAGCATTAAGCTTCTTAACTAGATAGCATAGATGCTTCGCTGTGCAAGTGGTGCTCAGACGACATAAAAGGTTTCCTGTCGCGGTCATAGTGACGATGTTTGGTAGATCGGTACAGCGTAGTTTACGACCCGTTCTTGTAAGTTCTTTGAACGTTGCCAGCAAAGTTTCTTTATCTTTTTCCCAGTTGCTGTCGACTAGCATTTTGAGGTTTTTGTTACGGTTCTCGGAGTTTGCGGCATTCGCCGTCGTATGCGGAGTGAAGTAGTGTGGATTGTCACCAGTCCAAGTGCGAAAATTATGTTTATTAACGTTGCAGAAATTTTTCTCGTGATAATCGGGTTCGGCGACATATGCACCGAAAATGCGACGTGCTTGATGTCGGTTTTTCTTCGATTCTTGCACGAGTTGGCTTTGATAAGCTCGCAAAATCTTCCATAAAGTGGATGGGCACAGCTCCAATTGTGCCGTGCATTGGCGGATGGACTCACTCGAAACTTCGAAGCTCTGCTCCACAGCAGCAACAACGTCTTCGGTGCAGCCGCAAAAATATTCTCCAAAGTAATTTTTTGGGAATGTTGCGGGAGTGACAGTCGTTGCCCAGATAAAAGTCCGGGTCGTTCCTGTATAAGACTTTTTCTGAAACTTTTGGATTGTAGTCGCCTCTTGCGTTAGAAATGCCCTTCTTGAACCCCTACCTCGCACAGAATTCGATGCGCGCTGTACGGCATCTCTGAGAATGCGCATTAGCCACTAGAGTGTAGAAAACGAGTATAAATCAAGCAACAGCTGTCAAAATGACCAGCTACGAAAAAAGTATTGACTCATGGAAAACCAAACCTCTGCAAAAAACACCCTTTATATCAATCAGAAAGTAATTTTAATCAAATTCGTATTAAAAATAAATTTTAAATTTAAAAAAAAAATCAAAAAAAAATATTTACACTCTTTAGGAATAGTACTTAAACAATATTGAAAATAAATTAATATAACAACAATTTTCTATAAATAAACAATTTTTCTATAAATAAATAAAATATTAATTTCACTTTCTCCACCTTTCCTTCTCCTCCTCCTTGTCTTTCAGTCAAAACAATTCTTGCCATTTTTTGAAGCTCAAATCATTGCAATTGTTGCTGCTTATCTAATAGTGCATCCCTTCGCTGTCAGCACCGAGTCAATTTGCAATTATCTACGCCAGACTATGAAAACCCTCGAATTACAGGAAGCAACGTTGGAAGAAATACTTGGCACCTACACGAATCTCTTTGAGGTGGCAGATGAAACGGAGACGAAGAATAGTGAGCTCAAAGCGAAGTGGAAGTTTTGCGGTTTTACAACAACAACAACTAATGAAGAAGCCGAAACGAAACAGAATGATGCGACTGCTAAAGAATAGTAGTATATAAGGAAATGCAATTTTATTACAGAGAATTCAATCTCTATTTTTGCTAAATATACCAAATATGGAATGCAAAACTTTTTTTTAATACATACATACATACATACAACCAACCATACATATATACACACATACATATTTATTCATACACACATTTGCATTAAGCTTAAATTATTCGTAAAGTAAACATCGACTTTAATCAAAATATTTTAATAATTTCCTTCAAAATAATGAAAACTAAAAAAAAAAATTGGTTTTAAAAATTATTTATATTTAAAAAAAAAATAAAATATGCAAACGCAGTAAAGTATTTTGCTTATAAACATTGTTCCAAATGGCTTGTTTCATTTTTACTAAAATAAAATATATTATATGTTCATATACGAGTATGTCCATCCATTTCGAGGTTACAGGGTTGTATTATGACATCTGTCAAACTTAACTGTCAAACCAAATATGTTTTCTTTTCGTGAAGGCCAGGTTCCTCTAAAAAATTAAAAAAAAAAACAGAAATTTTTTTCCTGTAAATTGCTGGAAAATACTTTTAGAAATAATATAGAGCTAATTCCGAAGGTGCACAAGACCAAGAAGTAAGTATAGAAGAGAGGAGAGCGGAGCGCGCCAAGCGGTAAATCCGGCCGCTCGAGTGCTTCAATCGCCTTTTTTCAACTTTGTGACACATGTATTTCGAACTATTTTTTTTTTGTGTGAAAATGTTTTATATTAGTTCCGGTCATAGCCAAGGTGATACAGAATAAGAAATCGTTTTGATTTTTGCTTTAAGATGATTCACTTTACAGTTATCATGTTACTCCCAACAAAAGGGACGTCTTTCAGCAGCAATTTTAAGAGGTGTCATTTAAAAAGTCTACTTATCTACAAAAACTTTGATTTATATATATATATATATATATATATATATTTTTTTTTTTTGATTAAAAAAAATATTTTTTTTTTTTTGAGGAACCTGACCCTAGATGTTAAAGTATTTATGAAAATGGATGTTTAACAACCGAACTATGCAAACGTGGCCAAGTTTCGTGCTTTGAGAGGAGATTAGGGTGCGCTTAATTCTCCAAATACTGAAGCTGCTGATATTGTAAGACCTGTGGTGTATCATCGTTTTCCTCGTTTCACTTAAAATATCGCTACTGTAAGTGTAAGGAAAGTATAGTCGAAGACCCCAATGTGTATATTTCTGGGCGTTCTCAAGAGCTATGATCTTCTTATGGCACATTATGCCGTATTTTGACCTTGGACTTACACCTGCTTTCATGTAAAGTACAGCTCATAAAACAACTGAAGCCAGCTGAGTATTCACAAAGCCGTAAATATGTCGATTGGGTGGGCGATAGAACAACAAGCAGTGAACGAAGATTTTTCGAACGAAATTTTCTTCAGCGATGAAGCACATTTCTCACTCGGGGGAAACGTAAATAAGCAAAATTCATACTTAGAACTTTGAGAGTCTTCAAATACATATAGAGAAGTCACTGCTCCCAAAGAGAGAAAAGAAAAGCAGCACCGTCTTCTATGGGCTAATGCTTAACACGGCACTGTCTATCCGCCCAAATTCTATCTGCGTTAGTCCGCTCAGCATGATATCACATTAAGTTTATGGGAATTTCCCATTCAATAAAACCATCAGCTCTACATACATACGCTGTCTCTTAGCGATTAATCTATTGTCAAGACCCATAGAAGAGGCGAATGCACAGCGCAAGGTATGCCTATGTACCGAAATTTTTGCGAGCTCAGACCTTACGACGCTGCATCCGAGGAATTGTCACATAAGTAAATTACGGGAGAGCAGAGATAACAGCAGGCGGCTCCAATCTGAAAGAAGGCGCCCAGAATGAGTCACTGAAAGTCAATCTACACACACTCATCCAACCTGCGTCGACCGAATGCCACGCAAAGCAATTTCTAATTTAAAGTTTGAAACTCAATTCGAATGCCTAAATGGAGTGGGTAATGAAATTGTGCAAGAATGATGGTAGAAAATGAAATCGCAAGTAATGCGTTTTCACCTTCAACAAGGACAAAACTGTATTCCTTGCATTCGTCATTTTTGCAATCGTTCTTTGCAGCAGCCGAGCATATATTTACAGATACATAACTAAATACAGATACATAAATAAATAATATATACTTGCAGTCAACTATATGTAAATATGCATTTATTTTGACTGCTTCCTCGGCCGACCCTGGGTAAATGACCAACGACTTGTGCGTTTAGTAACCCCATTTGATGACGTCTTCTGGGTGAGACATCACTGGATGGTTCAATATGTGGTTGGGCGAAAGTTGCTTTGCAGAACTCTGTGGGATATAAAAGGCGCCGAATTTCTTTTATTCTCTCACTCTCGCTCTCTCTCATCTCCATCGCTTTCATAAACTGCAGAGCTACAGACCAAGTGATGTGTGAGATTTTCACAGTTATTACGTTTAAGTAAAATTAAGAAATATTTATTCAGGCATAAGTTGGTACTGCCATGAACTTGTGGAAAATAACCGGAAATGCACAAAAAACACACCCAGCAGAGCTCTATGAGTCCAAAGAAATACACATAAATTAATTTGTGCTCGAGTTCAGTTCCACGAAGACGAAATATTCGTATGCTAGGGATAAGGAGTCAATCCAAGTCAACATAATGGTGGCCACTAAAACCACTTACCAGCTATGGTTTTTGCCAGGCGTCTCTAGTTTGCGCGCACCGTTATCAAACACGTTACTATTTCCATCGGAGTCGCTATTAACCCTTTCGCTTCGACCACTTTATTCGTTGATGCTTCTTTGTTCACAGTTTCAACAAGTCTGACAGACATGGTATTTTGATGCACTTTGTATTTTGTAGTGGCCATACCGTTCGTGGTTCAACCCAATACGATAATCGTCCCTAGAACGAATAGGATAGAGAATGTTTCGAAGTATTTTTCCTTTGAATCCCGCTAGAGGGATCCATCTGCGGCACAGTTCATTTGTCTGCACCGTCTTGTAAAACGTTTAGTTTTATCAGTCAAGAGAAGGCTTTACGCCGAATATCTAGTCGGTGGTAGACTTACCAGGCCTAAAGCCGCTCTGATAGGTTCGGATCGGCTTTAATCTTCTACACAGTACTCTTGACGGGAACTTGTTTGAGATGATATTAAGATTGATCCCCTGAGAGTTGCCACATATCGTCGATTCCAATCTTTGGATCTGCTTTTCGCTAGCCTTTTTCAAAGAACTGTTGCATCCAGCCATGAACAACTCCGCAGGCAGTTACTCTGCACTTGCTCTATTGATCGGATACCTAGAGGAGCGAGATTCGCAGTTAGATGCTTCGGGCTTGAAATATTAGGTCCGCGCCGTTACTTTTGCTTTCTCCAGGCTTAATGAAGAAGCGAAACAAATGGGTCGGGTAGTGAACGAGAACAAGACAAAATATCTCCTGTCATCAAACAAACAGTCATCGCATTCCCAATTTCGCTCTCAGTATACTGTTGATAGCCAATACTTTGAAGTCTTAGATAATTCGTCTGTCTTGGAACCAGTCGGCCTATAAATTTAGCGCAGAATCACTCTTGTCAATAGTTGCTGCTTTGGACTGAGTAGGTAATTGAAAAGTAAAGCCCTCTCCCGACGAACGAAAACCAAACTCTATATGTCCCTCATCGTTCCCGTTCTCCTATATGATGCTGAGGCATGAACGATGGCAACAACTGATAAGTTGGTTAGGAGTTTAAGAGAGAGAGATTTTGTATAAGATACATTGTCCTTTACAAATTGGGAATAGCGAATATCGCACACGATGGAACGATGAGCTGTATGAGTTGTATGATGACATTGACGCAGTTAAGCGATTCAAGAAGCAGCGGCTACTCTAGCTTGAACATGTGGTCCGGATGTATGTGAATACTCCTGCATTGAAAATTTTCGATGTAGTCCTTAAATATCCAAGTAGGACTAGCAGCTCACCACTAACTGCAAGCTGGTGGCTTTTTACACCATTGATGAGTTTGTCGGGAGGGAATATTCGATTCTGCTAAGTGATCAACTCTGTCGAATTACTTTTTGACCTCAATACCGGCCAACATGTAAAATTATAGAAAGTTAATATCAACCCCTCCGAGTGTATTTCTATCGTGAAATAAGAGTTTACCATAAAAGTTCATCGGACATTCGGAGGCGACTTAGCATAAACTGTAGGTCTCACTATGTTTCGGAAAAACATCCAGACGCCCACCACCAGCCAGTCAACCCGGAACTTTCTTTGTATCTGTTATCAGCGTTCCCGAAGCAATCGGTTTTCCGTCACGTTATGTACCTGTAGACAACTTATATAAGCCCACTGTGCAGCATTTTACAGCGGAATGTCATTGATTGCCGGTTTTTGCGGCTGCGAATGCCTTCTTCGCTTCGCTTCGCGACACATACATATGTATATGTATGTATGTACATATTCCTGCCACGGAGAACATATGTGACAAAGTGCCCGAATTTGAAACGGATGAAAAACCAAAAACAACCACAAAGCCGATAAAAGAAAATTATACATATACAAATATATGTATGTATGTACATATGTATGTGCACAGCGCGCCCCCAGCAAACAATGCTGCTCCAGCAACAACTAAATCATTTAAAACGAGAAGAAAGTAAATACATACACACATATTGTACATACGCGTATATCTACATGCTTACAAGGCTGCATATCTACACACAGACAATTTCGGATACATATGTATGTATGTATGTATGTAATTGTTGTGTGTGCACTGACGTCGATTTACCGATTTACCGAGCTCCAAACAGCCGACCAATGTCATGACGCTTGCAGCGCTGTCAATAGCTGTTGTTGTTTCGCTACGCCTCTCGTCTCTGTACATACAATACAAATGACGAAATGACTGCCGGTTTGGCGCGTTGGTTGGTGTGCTGACTTGCTGGCTCGGTGCGACCTCCTCGAGCACAGTCACACAACAGCCGTCAGCACAGTCGTCTTTGCGAGCTCGAATACGCTACACACGACCTGCGCGATACACAACACTAACAAAGCACACTACCCCACATCAACCGAAGCAGCAGATTATTGTATTGGACGAAT